TTTTTTTTTTAAATGGGTAACTTACACCAATATTGGTATTGGAGACAATGATTTCCAGCACTGAGTTGTCAGCAGTGGTATCCAGCTCTGTCAGGTCATACAGAGAAGACTGAACAGGTCCATAAGCCCAGTCTGTGAATTTTCTTGACAGGCTCCTGTTTGGCTTCTCTCTGATCTCTCTGCTCAGGATGTACTTCAGAATCTAAAACACAAACAAAGTCATTTGTCAGCAGCTGTGCTTTTCATGGAAAAGGACACAGCACATGAACAGATTTGCCCAAACTCCCACCTTTTACCTGTTATGTACAGTTGTGCAATTTAATGTATTTGTAATTGTGTTATTCTGGAGATAAAAAACCTCAAAGAAATAAGTACAGTTTTTTTAATGCCCGCAGATTTTCTGACAGATATTTGTCTAAAGGGTGAAATCACAATTTCCATGTGTTCATTTTTTGTCTTCCTTTAACTTAATTATTTTCTAAATCATCCCATTGGCAATTCTTTAATTTCTGGGAAAAAAAAAATCAATAGCAGCATAACAGAGAAGTTGTAGTGAGTTTTCTGAAATTGTTTAGTGGTAAATGCAGAATTTCTGTACAACAGGAGGCTGGTTTTAAACAGCTCGTGGGGGAGTTACAGGGAAACCTTGAAGCATAAAAACAACATTGCAATGRAAATATTTGTGTTTTCACCAAAATCAACCCACCAAAATCAACTCACCAAATACTACTGATAAAAAACAGCATAACCAGGAAAAGAAATGGAAAGAATAACCTGGAAAGAAATGTGTCATAGCATCAGTTTCTCTTAAATGCCACTGAAATCACACTCACCTCTAATTTCCCAGTTTTTGCAGCTAACTGCAGTGGTGTCAAACCCTCCTTGTTCTTTGTTGTTTCCAGATTCCTGTCYTTGCTTTTCAGCAGAATCATATCATACATTCTGATCACAAAATCATTCTGGGTTTTGGAGTCCTCTGCCACGGTGACTAAAGCATGGAGGATGTTGTTGCCTCTGGAATCTTGAGAGGAAATGTTTGTCCTGGCATTGTCCATTAACAGCTCRATTATGTCTGGTTGGTTGGTACATGCAGCTAAAGCCAGGGCAGTTTCACCTACAGAAACATAAAATTCAACATGTGGTCGTGTTTTATTGCCAACATTCAAAACAGAATAGAAAATACCATGTTGAGCATCTTAATAAGTGAAAGCATCTTAATAATGCATCTTAATATGTGTTGAACATCTTAATATGTGAAAATTTACATATTGATTGTATTGGATCAAGCTCCTATTTTATAAAAGTTTTGGGTATTCCTTCTTAACCTTTCCAGGAAGGTCACAATTCCACTCACCAAAGTAAAAGCCTTCRTGCTTGTGTTTGGGATTAAAGAAAATCCCCTGGGCATGGGCATTGACATCAGCTCCTTTTTCAATGAGGCTCTGGGTGATTTCATACTGTCTCCTCTCAATGGCAATATTTAGAGCTGTCTGGCCTGAAAAAAMASMCACAGRAATTTRGGGTTGAGTCTCTCTGAAACATTAATGATGGTTCACAATGGATGGCACCAGTGATAATGAATAAAAGTTGGGTTAGGGATTTAAATCATCATTATTTTATATGGATGCTGAGTTTAACCGTATACCTGAAACTTTTATCTGATGGCAATACCTTTATAAGCCTCTTCTGTGTAGGCTGCATTGATAAATCTCTCCAAAATTCCATTTTCCTCTGCAAAGGACAGGAGCATGTTCACAATCTCATTTGTGTTCTCGTTGATGTTCAGCAGAGCTTTCATCAGACAGGTTTTGCCGGTGTCTGAAGCCGTGAACTTTTTCATCAGATAATCTAAAAGAGAGAATTTTGAGAGCTGATAATTGTCACTAATTAAACTTCTATTCATTAGAGGCGAAACCTGAGGGATATATGAATATAAACTATTTACCAAACCATAACTGCATCTTGTTCATTTTGTATTTCAACACCAAGACAACCAACCCCCTTGGTTTTCCTGCTGTGCCGTAACTCCCAAATTCACCGGGAAATAAAGATATTTCCCAGTTTAGATTCCACCTGAGCTGGCAGAAGAGCTGGAAACTCTCCCCCAGGTGCCTGCAGAGCTCACCTGGCACGGGCAGGTTGGTGCAGGAGCTCGATCTCTCCTTCAGCTCCATCAGCAGCCGCTGCAGCTCCTCCACGTTCCCCTCGGACACCGCTCGGAACAGGTTCCTCTTCAGCTTCTTCCTGGCCCTTGTCAGCTCAGGGCCTTGGGATGTGTTRGCACTGAATGGTGAGAAATCATCAGGAAACTGCTGGTTCGATTTTATTTTATTTTATTATTTTGGTTTATTTTATTTTCTTCATTAGAGGAAAAACCAAATGCAGTTACTCGCCCCAGAGTACACGAGCTTGCCCTGCTTCCACGAATATCTCAGAACATTCCTCACATTGATTATTTGCAGGTAAGTGGCTACTAAAAGGGGGTTTATAATAAAATATTTTTCAAGTATTTTGTGTTAYTTTCCAGTTTATCCATTCCTCTAGAACAATGGCTAAAAAATACTTCTTTGATCTACCCACAACTCACCAACTTCAGTGCTGAGATTACCTGGAGCTCTCACAGAAAAGAGAGTTTTTAACCTCACATCTTACACCACTTTCTGATCATACTTTATTCTGGAAAAAGAATGATTTCATATTTCCCCCAAGCAGAAACACTCCATGCCTAATTGTGGTGCATAGACCCTGTATTTGCATTACACATAAAACATTATATATAAAGAATTCTCGCACTGAATAAGAAATTTGAGCAATTAGAGTAGTTTATTTCAACGTTAAATTATTGAAGGATCAGAATGCATGCACACACATGACCTTTCTAAAACATGGCAGGCAAAATAGGTAACACCTACCCTACCACAGATTTAATCAATTGGAAATGTGCTGAGAAACATTCCTAAGAAATATTCGTGAGAAATATTTCACTCACCCACAGCTGTCGATGTTAGGGCTGTATTCAGTGGCATCATCCTGAAGAGACTGTGGGGAATCCATGTCCTCCCCATTTCCAGATGCACTGAAGACAACAGAAAAGCCCCCTGTGTGAAGATATTTGCAGATATTTTGGGAAATATCTGCTAATATCTTATATTATATCCAATATTCTTCTGTGTGAAGAAACAGTGAATGGTAGAGCAGAGTATCTACATTAGAGTTTAAATTAGCCCTATTTGACATTGGCCTTTTAATTCCATCATTTTATCTCCCACGTGAGTTWTAAAGTGAGTGATAAAAATGAAGAGGCTCACAAGATTTTATTATATTTTTTAAAAGACCACATTTGGAAAGCAATCTACTTTGAGTTTTATTATATTATTTCTCACAGATCCTGAAACTGTGGGAACTTTTTTTTTTTTTTTTTTTTTTTAAAGATCACTGCTTTTTATGCATCATCCTGAAGGCTTGAAGCTTACATTCTTCCTTTTCACATGCTTATTTTGTCATCTGGCACAAAACAAATGCTAAATCAGTAGCAGAGAGTGGGTTCTGAGCCCACAATGAAAGTGATTTACCTAAAGATTTACTACACAGAACACTGTAGGCAGCCCAGGAGTGTTTTGTGGCTGATTTGAATGAAAGAAATTAAAAACTGGGCCCAAAATAAACATTTAAGGGATATATTTAAAGAATTTTGATGGCATTAGTATTTTGTAATTGCCATACATAATTTCCACACAGTCTTAAAACTAGCTCTGACTTGGAGAAATTAGAATAAATTTGTTTCTTACTTGTATTCTTGTTTTCTCTAAGATTCAGATTGGATGAACTACCTCAGGTTGATAATTTAGRGAATCTGAGCTATTAATTATTGCCMAAACAGATGCATGGGCAGCAAARKGAGGGCTCAGCACTGCTCTGCAGGTACTGGGAGCTCTGAGTCCGTTCTTTTTCCATCTGTCACTCAAAAACAGAGCAACGTGGTGACAAAGCACATGTGCAGGTCACTKCCTCAATGAGAGGGAAATTTTTCACTTCTCCTCTGAAACTGAAATCAGCCTGTCAGCCAATTCCCAAATGCTGACCACACATCCATCAGACAAAAACCTTTGGCCATTCTGGGCTTCTGCCAGATTTGTTGCMTATTTCTCTTATTTGTAATTACTGCCTAGCTCCTCACATATTTTATTTTTTTTTAATTTAAGTGCATTCTCCCCAGTCATAATTTTTTCTCTATTCATTCAGCAGAAATGGCTGCTTTAAATATTTCAGATTCAGCATTTCCCTGTTTGATTGTTAATGAGCAATGGAGGGAAGACGTCAGCAGCCAGCTGGGAGCAGGGCTTGCCAAATTGAGCTGTGGTCTTCACACAGAAACACCAAATGAGAGCATGGAATTTGTTCTAATTTATCATTAATAACAGGCTAAGATTTAAAAAATATTGATTTTAAATTTATTCAGATCTGAGGTCTGATTTATTCCATGCAAGCAACAGCAGTGGATAAAACCAAAGATAAATCTCCGGTGAAGTTCTGCCTTTGCAGTGACCAAAAGCTGTGAAAAATCAGGTGAAATCTTGGCATTGARGTCCAAGGAGAAATAAGGAGAAGCTGCTGAGAAGAAAATGGAGCAGGAGCATGGTTTGTGCATCTGTGACTTACCAGGGGCGAATGTTTGAATCCATCGGTTTGGAGAACACGGGGGGAGAGGTGTTATTGGGGGTGGCATTGCTCTCAAAACCATCAATCTCCAGAAAAAAGTGGGAACTGTGGAAGACAGTGCATTTTAAAAAATATGAGTGATAAAAGGCAAGCATTTAAAAAATATGAGTGATAAAAGGCAAATATTTAAAAAATGTGAGTGAAAAAAGGCAAGCATTTAAAAAAATATGAGTGAAAAAAGGCAAACATTTTAAAAATATGAGTGAAAAAAGGCAAGCATTTAAAAAATATGAGTGATAAAAGGCAAATATTTAAAAAATGTGAGTGAAAAAAGGCAAGCATTTAAAAAAATATGAGTGAAAAAAGGCAAACATTTAAAAAATATGAGTGATAAAAGGCAAGCATTAAAAAAAACCGAGTGAAAAAAGGAAAACATTTACTATGAGTGAAAAAAGGCAAACATTTAAAAAATATGAGTGATAAAAGGCAAGCATTTAAAAAATATGAGTGATAAAAGGCAAGCATTTAAAAATATGAGTGAAAAAAGGCAAACATTTAAAAAATATGAGTGCAAAAGGCAAACATTTAAAAAATATGAGTGACAAAAGGAAGCATTTAAAAAATAAGAGTGAAAAAAGGCAAATATTTAAAAAATATGAGTGATAAAAGGCAAGCATTTTAAAAATATGAATGAAAAAAGGCAAGCATTTAAAAAATATGAGTGATAAAAGGCAAGCCCMACCATAAACCAAGAGAAGAACTACCAAGGGCAAGCCTGACAATTTATCTCTGCTTGGCATTAAACCTGAGCTGGAGCTTTATCTGCTTTCCCCTGAGGGGATCCCAACCTCCAGCACTGTGCCCAGCTCTTCCCATCTTCCAGATGGGCAAAATTCCCAAGATTTATTTTTAGAACACGTGGCATCAGCTCCTGGCATGGGGAAGCAGCAATTTCTAAACCWGCTCCTGTCCCTGCCCTGCATACACAAAAAATGCTTTTTTTTTTAATCTGCTGCATCCCAATCTCTGTTTCTCCAGCCAGGAGCCATCAGGATGGATCATTTCAAAGCTGTGATCATGATTAAATCAGAAAGTTTGAAAGGTCACATGTTAAGTGACATTAGGATTTCCAGGAATGAACGTGTCCTCTCACCTGTCAGTGCGTGACATTTAACTGTTTTGCCCTAGAAATAATTAYATAAATTATATAGATAAATATTTATAGTGAAAGGAAATAAAATCTTAAACAACACAGGAAAGGTTGCATGAATAGAACGATTTCACCTWTTAAAAGTCTGCAGAGTTGAGATGCAAAATCAATGGTTTGGTATTACTGGATCTCACTAAAGCACTAAAACACAGAGTTCACCACAGAGAGAGGAATTTCAGTGATTGATGCAGCAATTCCCACAGGGGCTGTTGTTCAGAAAATTTCTAAAATGCTGCAGTAGTTCAAAAAATTTCTAAAATGTTGCAGTAGTTCAAAAAATTTCTAAAATGTTGCACTTGTCACCTGAAAAGCCTTTCCAATTCACCTGATATTTATGGTTTTGTCCTTAGGGTATTCCTTTTTTTTTTTAACTGCATCTTCCCCATAGAATCCTGTTGAAGTAAAGTACTGATGCTAAAATGCAGAGCATTATTARGACACTACAGAACAATCTGCTGATATTTTCTAGAAATACCATTATCTAATTAATCTCATTTTCCAATGGTTTGATGATGCAGGTGTTAATTCTGGCATCCAACAGCAGCTGGGAAGGGAACCCTRCTTTGGGGGCTGACAGAACTCACCCCTCCTGTCTTTAGGGTTACCTGGGGAAAAAAAAAAACACCCAAAAAGCCACTGTGCAGAGCAGGGTGCCATCAAATATCCAGGGGCTGACGTGGCAGCACCCTGTGACAGCCTCCTCCCCTCCTGCCACCCCAATTTCCTGTGCTTAATTACAAACTGGCAGCCCCTTCCAAATTCCAGGGCYTTCCAGAAGGGAATGTCTTCCAAGAAAGGGAATATTGCCAGTTCTGAGAGTGAGAAATGCCAGCCTGGGAGTGCAGCAGYTGCTGGTGGGGCAGCTGGAGGGAGAGTTTTGACAGAACAGGATAAAGCAGCATTGGAACATGTAATTAATAGAAAATGTTAAAACCCTGCATTAAAATCCACGTGATCTCGGTGCTGTGYGTTACAGGAATGCTCTCAGCCACACCCTCTGGGTTGAGAGGTGGGGAAAAAGCCCAAGGTTATTGTTCCTGAGGCCACAGCAAATGGGAGATATGAGTTCAGTGATTGAGGCCTTGGGTTTGGCAATGTTCTTGTAAATACTCGATCTGCCACGGAATTTTGCCCCTTTTTGAAGTGCTGGGTGTATCAGGAGCTGCTCAGACATTTTGTCTCCTCCATGTGCCACCAAAGAGCTTTTTTTTTTTGGAATTTAATGACAAAAAGACAGATYAGACCACCCAGTCAGCAGATCTCAAATAACTCATGGCATCATCCCTGTGAAAAATGATTCCTCTGATTATTGAGAATTATAAATGTCAGGACAGCCACAATTCCCCAGGCMTTCAAAATTTCAGAAATTGCCATAATAACCAGTAATTATCCCCAGTGAAAAGTTTATGAATGAAAATTCATCCTCACTCTACAGCAACTTGGTTGGCTTCAATAGCGAAGTGTCAGGCAGGAATTGCAGCTTATATTTCTCCATTTATAATAAATCCAACCCCTCAATCCCTTTATTAATTCTCAAATATAAATTATGAATGAAAGTGAATATTTCATAAAACAGCAAAGAAGCCTTGTTAATCAGAATAATGAAAAATACAGTGAATTCAGGTTTCTNCTTAATCAGAATAATGAAAAATACAGTGAATTCAGGTTTCTGTTTGGATTTTTCAAACCTCCTGCTCTCCCAACTTAATCAGAATAATGAAAAATACAGTGAATTCAGGTTTCTGTTTGGATTTTTCCATCCTCTTGCTCTCCCAACCCTCTGCCTCTCCATAATCTGTCATATTTCCATGTGAGGATAAGTTTGAAACGCTCCATTTTTTCAGGCCAGTGTCTCTTACATAAAACTTGGTGTGTTCTTCCATGTGATGTCTTGAAAACAGATCACTTTATATGAAATATTAACCATCATTAGACCACTTTTTTTGCGAGTTTTTTACATGGAGTGGGTACAGAAGGCCCAGCTGGTGTGAAATAATCTTTAAACACTGGTGCATGAGCCTCTTTGGGGATAAAAGTGAAATATTTGCCCCATTAGGATAAACACATCCTATGYCTTCACAACTCTTCCATTTCTAATCAACACAAGCGTGGTTTTGTCTCTCTCACTCCTAAATTCARCAAGAATGAAGATGTTGGTGGTATTTCAGTGCAAAGATCTCCTGAAGGAGATAAAGCAGGGAATTTCAGACTGAGCTGGAGTCCTACCTTTTCTTTGTGGGAGTGCCTTCAGTCACCTTTTTCTCTTGCTGGTTTGAGGGGGGATTTCCAGCTGGATTTGTTTTCTTGCCCATTAGTGGAAGGATTTCGTTGTTCTCTTTAATCATGTTCCTGCAGCAGAGAGATTTCAGTTACTCCACTCCTGTTCCTCTAAAGGAAGCGACCAAATTGCCTGTTTACAGTCTTTTCACATGTAAACACACAAATATTGGTTCTTTCTTCCCCAAAGTTTTTCATTTTTCAGTTCCTAAGCGCACRCATTTCATGCATCAAGGCTGGAGGGTTATACAAATGACTCATTAAATTTAAGTCTGTGAAAAGTGCCATTAAAAGTGGGACCAGGAGAGCCATAAATTCAAGGCTGTGCCTAAATTAARCTGAAAGGAGCCTGTCAATCACAGTGTGTTATTTAGAGAAACATAAAGAGCACGATGACTTTTAAAATTACCCTAAAGTTGGGCATCTTTACAGTTAATCTGAGCCGTGTACTTTAATCCAAGATAATTTGAGAAAAGTGGCAAATTCCAGGAAGATCAGTGCAACAGAAAATAGATAAAGGAAGATTCCAGGTGTGAGGTGAACAAAGAAAAATCCCTGAAAGTTTTCTCTGCATCAGAACAGCAGAAGCAGCAGACTCTGAATATGATGTCCAGGCTGAGCTCAGCTAAATTATCACCTGGATAATTCCCAGGATTTGTGTCCTGGTGATTCCCCAACGTTGCCTGAGGAAAAAGAAAAATAAATCACCATTCTACTGGATGGAAATGACCACCAGCACATGACATAAAAGGATCTTGATGCATGTCACCTCCCTAGGAACACCTACAGCGTGAATTCTCTAACTAATAATGAATAACTCTCTCCCTGTTTCTCAATCTAATACTCAAGGGCATCATTTTAAATAGCCCAGGATAATTTGAAAGCAAGAAGGTGAATTCAGGATACATTAAAATTCACTGAAGGTAAAGCCAGGAAGATTTATGAGGTCAGGGACCCATTCCCAAGGAAATCAGGGGTGTGCCCTCCTTACCAAGGACAAATGGTAAAAATAATTTGCCTGCAAGCTTGAACAAAATGAACCACACATTTTTTTCCATCTTGATTCGCTTTCCTTAATGTGACAAATGCACACACAAACTTTCTGCTCCTGTCACAGCACCAGGATTCCTTCATTTTGGGAGTATCAAGATACAGCGAGCAGATTGTGGAGAATGTTTGAAAAGACACGACACCTGGTGTGAGAGAGGAGCCAGGAATATCAAATACACTGGTATTTGAGTAAAAGTCTATTAATGCATAAACAACAAATGTTTAATTATGGCAATTTCCAATCCAAACTGCAGAGAACTGAGAATTTACAGGGTCCAAACACTCCTAAGTGCAGCTGTAATCTCTTGGCACTGTGTGGAAATAGGAACTTGAAACTTTGGAAAGGGCTCYTTACCTTGCAAAGACTGGCTTAAGAAACAGGCATGAAAATAATTTTTTATTGGTTTTTTTTTTCTACCATTGGCAGGTGTGTTCAGCACTAGGAAACATTCCTAGCTTGGATGAATTCCCTAAGAATTCATATCACAGCTTTCATAGAAATAATTGATGAAGGGAAAATATTTTTACCTGCATAAAAAATACATCACAGCTTTTAGTAAATGCACAGTAGAGCTGAATTTGGGGATTACAGAGTGAAGGTGGGAAAAGGGGGTTTTTCTGTGCCCCTGGAAATGCCACTCACATCAATTAGTGAATACACTGATAAACATTTGGTCTAAACACAGCTCAAACAAATGACTGTTGCCTGGCTTAGTTCATCAAAAATTCTGCTATTTACTCCTTTCCAAGTCCTTGGAGAATACAAAGCAGTGTGTGGGCAAAGACACTTCCCATCCTGAGGAAAAGGCAAATGGGATACTCAAAATAAATCAAATATATGGAAATCAGAATATGGTGGTGATGGATGTTAAATAGATACACAAGTGAYTTTAAAGGAAGGGAATAGTTGGGAACAGGCTAAAAACTCCAAAAATCAACAAAAAGATTTGCCAGGTGGAGAGGGGCACAGCTGTGTGAAGTCACAGGGGTGGGAAAGTGGAATGAGGAGCTGCAGAAATAAAAATCAAAGTTAAATTTCTAAGGGAAGAGTCTCTCGTTTGTGAGTGATGCTGGAGCTGCTCAGAGATGGCAACACCTCCCTGCGAGGGCAGCAGCTCCAAGCCCCRTTTGCAGTCGGTTTTTACCACACAGATTTTAAAAATGACTCAAGAACAGGCTGCGCCCCTGAGGAGAGGTGGGAAATCATCAAAGAAAGCTCTGAAGTTGTGCTGGATGAGGAAGGACCATCAGTGATGTAAGGAAGCAATTTGGGAAGGGAAAAAGAGGACARATTTCCTTAAATACAGAGGGGTGTGACTGCATCCCAGCCAAAAAAAATCTATTTAAAATGAGATCTCAGTCTGGCCGGGTAAATAACTGCAGGCACAACAGCACAGGTACCTTGCTACAGTGCTGAGGCAGYGTCTGTTCCATTTTTAATCATGATTAATTGTGTGCTAAGATGAAAACTAAGCCGGGCTTTCATCAGCAGCTTCCAGTGCACTATCATTTTGTGTAATCTGTGACAGAGAGAGAGAAAAACAGTGCAACAGCCTGGAAAGTGTCAGATGTGAGAGGTGCAGCTTGTRACACCGAGTGTTGTGTTGGTTGTGATTATTTTCTACCCCCATTATCTCGTTAATTGTTACTTGCAGGCCACCAGAGAAGTGGATTATTTGAAGTGGGCAGCGAGACAAAACTCTGAATTGATTTATAGTATTGAGAATTACTTTGAAGGGGATCTGAGGACAGTGAGGGTTCARTATCTGACCTTCAGAACTCTGAGGATAAGAAAAGGATATTTATCTGTGGTGGTGAATGGGATTCTGCCCTTCCTGCAGGAAGTGGTGCTTTAAACGCCACAGACTCACCTGCTTATCTGAGAATAGGAAAAATCATAAATATCTRTATCTTTATATCTCAGATATAAAGAGAGAGAATTCTACAAAGCAGAAGGRACACTGAGCTGTGATATTGGGGCACAAAGGGAGGTGAAACCGAGAGCTGTTCCATCCACATTCTCCTCAGAACAGACCATGACACTTCCCAGCACCTACGACCTAATTCTTACTGGCTCATAAAAAATAAATCCCCTCCCTCAGGGGAGAGCTGATGAAATTTCATTCTGACTTTTCTGCCTTATTTATGGCATTAGGAGTCCGATCAGCAGGAGGTTGCACTTGATAGAAAGAGTTTCACCTTTCTGTAAGGTTTTTAAACTTTTGAGAGAGCACGGGTGGACACCAGGTGCTGTCAAAACTGTTCTTCTTGGTGAGAAATTCGTACTTTCCTATGAAGGTTTTTTTTTCCTAACAGAAATTTTAAACACCTCTGAAAAGCAACATTTTTTGCCCGAGGAAAAATGCTTTGAGATTATTTACTCACCTCTTTCTGAATAAATAAATAACATTTTAAAAATTATAAAAAAATATATAAAATAAATGAATAAAATGAAAAAATTAAAGTAATATAAAATAAAATAAAATAAAATAAGACAAAATAAAATATAATATAATAAAATAAAATAAAATAAGACAATATAAAATATAATAAAATAAAATAAAATAAGACAATATAAAATAAAATAAAATAAAATAAAATAAAATAAAATAAAATAAAATAAAATAAATTAAGACATTTAAGTGAGTTGAAATAAAAACTTGTTCTACTAGGCTGGGGATTTTATTTTCAGTGGTCACTACAGCAGGTGAAACTTTTGGTGTAAGGTGAATATCTTAGGTTGGACTCAATCTAAAAGGTCTTTTCCAGCCTGGTTGATTCTGTGATTCTCTAAAGTATGTTTGATATGATATTTTGGATCCCCTTGGCACAGGAAATAGGAAGTGCCACAGTGTTCCAGGCTGACAAACACAAATTAAATCAGGCCTATCCTTCTGAAAGCCCAAAGAATGTGCATGGAACAGCTCAGGAGGGCGATTTCCAMACCAGAAAAGCAGAAACACGTGAAGGATGGGTTTCATCTTTGTCCCTGGATGATTTCCCTCCCTCCAGAATCATCACACCCCAACCACCCCCGGAGCACTCACCCTGCTCACGACACCTCCATCCCGGCACRGTCGGATCTCGGCGGCGAAAATCAAACCTGGGCACCTCTGCCAACATCCAAAACTCATCTGCCAAAGGAACAAAACCGTGTTCAGGCTCCAAACTACCCTAAAAACATAAAACCACCCTGCTCCAGGCATCCGGGGCGCTCAGCTGGGGAGCAGAGCCGAGGAGCTGSCGGGGTTTGCTCCATCTGAAATTAGGGAGCAGGGAAAAACTGGCCGGGCAACAACTCCTCACTTGCCAGCTGCCAAAGTGGGGTGAGACACACGAAATAATTACACACTGAAGTGTTGCTGAGGATGAGTTGCTCACAGATGACTTCATGGCAGCAGTTGGGGGTGTCTCAGGCAATCGTTGCTCTGCAGTTTGCAAAGGAAAATGGTTGGGGAGTTGCATTTGGGTTGTAAATGGCACCTTTTATGTCATGCTCAGTTTATTGTGTATTATATATTTATTATATGGTTATAAATATTATATTATTTATATAATATATGAATATCTTTATTAATTATATCTATATATAAATATATAATCACACATTATATTAATATAATATATTTATATAGTATGGAGCTACTCAGAAGGCAGAAACAGGGAAACGATCCTAAGCGCTCCAGCAAGCAAAAATTTCTGCTGTTACTTCAAAAAATGACAAACTACTTYAGAAAATCTTACATTTTCACAGCAATGACAGTGAAAACGTGGTGGGAATTTTTAAATTTTTCTCTGCCTGTAGTGGTTTCCCATAGGGGATGTGGGAACACAACATTTGGGTTTCACATCCCTCAGACAGGGGAGGTTTTTCTCATCTTTGCTGCTTTAGAGCTGTTGAGCAGTGGTGAATGCAGAATTCTGGTCTGGGACATACCAGAAGAGTGACCATAAATTCTTCTTTGCTCTTTTTATAGAGTCTTGCCATTATCATCAGAAATACAGAATGTTAAAAACTCGTATGACTTTGCAGGGAGGCCTGCAAGGTGTATTTACAGCTGCTGGTCTTGACTTAATTATTAGCTGGGAGTTCAAGGGGAACTACTCAAGCAGCAAAACAGGAATCTTTTTTTAACAAAGGAAAAAAAAAAAGCCAAGTTTGGGTGGGGTTTTTTTTTGGTAGGAGGTAGATAAAAAATTTGAAAATAAAACCAAAGTAGCTTTGGATACTACAGCACAGATGCAGGTATTTTAATCCAAAGATCATGGTTTTAAAAGCTGCAGGTAAACTCCTCCTGCTCATGAAGTACCTTTAAAAACAGGTCTGCTGGGTGCTACATTTGCCTCAGATCCCGTGTGAAATGCCAGGAGCTCCTGCAAATGGATCAGTGGGGAAAGGGGCCGTGCCTGGGCTGGTTGGATTTGGCACTGGGGATCCCTTTGGATGTGCTGAGCACAAATCCAGCCCTGCCTGACACAAATCCAATGCTAGGAAATGTCCTTCACACCTTGCCAAGTGAGTTCAAATATAAAAACCAGAGTGTGCTGCTTTGATGGTCTTTTAGCTGCTGCAATAAGGGCTGGATCCTGCCCTTCCATCCTGCCTGGGAGAGCAGCACTTGGTTCTCAAACTGCCAGAAATTGTTTAATTTAAATCACTCTGAGGATGGGAASAGGCAAAGCCCCATGAAATCTGGGTGAAGGTGCATTTGAGGATTCCTGCTTTACCTCTGAACACAGTAATAGCAATCCTCTTGCTAAGGAGAGAAAATGAGTTTGGCAGCAATGAGGACTTTGAGCAGGGAAAGCAGCTCCATCTGAGAGCACCCAGATCTGTGTGGGTGAGCAGAAYGCAGGACCCAGCAGCCAGCTCTATTTATAATGCAGTGGCAGTTATCCAAAGAGGAAAATCTGGGACAAGCTGCAGCAGGAGAGGCAGATCCCTGCTCCCAACCTGCCCCTGGAGAGGTGCAGAGGCTGCAGGAGCTGCTTACAGCTCCCAAAAAAGCAGCTCCACTCCACCCTCCCTGCACTGTCAGGGCAGCCTTGGCTCACTCAACCCCAGCCTGGCCTTTCCTCTGCATTTCTCAGATTTAGGAGCAGGAACTCTGCTTTTTTTGTCTGATCTCCCTAAAAACAGACACCCATAGGTGCTGTGAGCCTGCTGTGATGAGGACACACTCGTGAGCAGCCAGGAAATGAGAGGCAGAACTTCAGTGTCACGTCTGTGCCAACGTTTTCTCCCAGTTTTAATCATTAACCTGCTCAGCCTTTATGTTCCCTGCTCCACCCTGGTGTTTCTGACAAGGCCAGCATTTTTCAGGAGCCATGGAAGGTTTTGCAAGAGGTTCTGTCATGACCGTGACCGTTTTATAGAGTTTTCACAGCAGTCCCCAGCTGCTTCAGCTACTGAGGAGATGACATAAAGGTCAAGAAGGTTAATAACATGAATCTCTTATTAAAAATTACTGGAAAACTTTAGCTTTGTTCAGTGAGGCAGCACAAAAAAAACAAAAAAAAACCCAACAAAAATTAAAAAAAAAAAAACAAAACAGAAGAAACCCTATGTGGCATTATTTTGTTTTCCTAGCAAGAGTTTGACTCAGTAGAAACTAAAATGAACAAGGTACAGGAAAGCCCAGATGGGAGGGAATTGAGCATTTGGAGCTCTGCCATCTGACATCAGCGAGTCAGAGCGGCATTTGCTCCTCTGCTGATACATGACACCGTCCCAAGCAAGCTCTCATTAGAAGTTATTCAGATTTTATATTCAATTCYGTGATTTTCAGTACCCCAACAGAGTCACTAGGGGGAAAAACCATTATCTGAATGCATTTTTAACATTGGGTAACAGCAAGAATAATTGTAAATTGCTCATTTTCATCATTCCACTCCCCAAGCTCCTTAAAAACAATCCAAAATGTGAGAATTAAAACACAGAGCACACCAGCAGCAGCCCCATTTCCCTGAGCACCGTGTTTAATTGACTCACAGGAGTCTTCCACGATTTTTCACTGCGCTCTCCTCACCCCTCCCCTCAGATCTAAACTTGTCCTGGGATCACCTCTGTGTTGCTGCTACACAAAGAGCTTTTCACACCACTCCAGGCTGAGCAGCAYTTGCAAATATTTACACATTATGCTCCTAAATTACGAGATAAGAGGTTGCTTCACATAGCTGAGCAACAGGGAAATGAATTAACCTGCAAGCAGTGTGACTGTCACCTACCAGGAGACAGCCCTGTGGGAAATCATTCCAGGAAAACACTGGGATGTCACCAGTTGGAGCAGTCGGGGCTGCAGGGACCAGGCAGCCTCTTCAGCAATGCTGTGATGTGTTTTTGCATGGCACAAATGCCTGGGGAACTGATTCCCAAAGATTCCTGTCGTGGAAGAACATTCCCAGGTTTGCTGGAGCTTCCATCATGAATAAAATCCCTGCAACTTTGCCACTGTGCAGTTTATTCTTTCGCTTGGGAAAAAAAAAAAAAAAAGGTTATTCCAATTATTTGCTGTTCCTCCAAACTATACTTTCTGGACCCAAATTAAGCCCTGCTCAGCACAGTGAGGAGCTCCACTCCTGACACTCCTCAGTCTGTCCGTGCTGCTGCCTTCTTTTCTACAGCTGAGCCTGGAAAAATGAACATTTTTATTCTGCATTCGAGCAGCATCCAGCCCAGCAGTGCCCTGCTGTATCATAGCAGGAGTTCACATTAAGAGCAGAGCAAAGCCTGATCCTATATCTCAGCTTCTGCCCATTCCCCCCAAACAAAAAAAAAAACCCCAAAACTGCCTCCCTTCCCCCATTATTATACCCTCACCCCACCTGCTAGAGTGCTCATTCCATCATCTCCCTAATTCCCATATACAGGGATGGGCTCAGTAATGATTCAAGTTTAAATAAATGCAGTAAAAATCCACTTTATGTAAGCGGCATCGATATTTGACTCATAGTTATCCCTTCTCTTGGCAAAGTTACAGGGCTGCCTAAGCAGAGATAATAATCAGCAATGGGAAGAATGGATTTGTTCCTTTTTTTCCAGTGAATTTTCCTGCATTTGTGATGTTCTTAATGTCCCCTGGTGGTGCTGTGGGTCACAGGCTGGGCACAGGCAAAGGAGAGCCTCACAAGGGCAAAAAAACCCTTTAGGGGAAAAAAAAAATAAAAATAATAAAAAAAAATATTTAAGACCAGGAGAGAGGCATTTTTTCCTGTTATTGGTTCTTGGTTCAGTCATCCAGGAGGGAACTGAGTGTGCTGAGTGACACAGTGAGGTCTCCCAGGGCACAAAAGCTCTCCTGGCTGCTGATCCTCACATTCCCAACCAGGTCAGAGTTGTTCTCCAGCTGTTTCAGGCTGACTTTGTGAATCTTCAGTTGTGGTGCAGAGTTTCTGGTAACGCTGAGCAGCGCAGGGGAATGAAGCAACATGAAAATGCCTCAAGGAAACCACGGTGAGGAAAGCGTGGCCCCACCTAAATGCTGCATTTTTTTTTGCTTAAGTTTGTGCTGCCACTGTTTGACTCAAGTAGTTTTTGGAGGGTGAGCACCCAAACTGGGGGAGGAACTTTCGTGTTGTAAGAATTTCGGGTTCAACTAATGGTTCAGTCATTTGATTTTTTTGGAAAACAACAAAACCCCCCTTTTAGAATGGAAATAATTTTCTCTGTCTCATCCATCTCAACCTGGGGAATGGTTCATTTCCGTTCCCTCTCCAAAGATCTGTCCAGACCTGTAAATAATATGAGTGGAACAAAAATTCACCCACTATCAGGTCTTAAACTCAGAGCTCAACCTTGCATCATCTGTAGCAGCGTATGAGATGCTCAGGAACCATAACAAAATTAAGTAAGTCCCTGCAGGCCACTTCCACTTTTTGTCAAGTTCTTTCTGGAAAATAAATGAAGCAGAATTGAAGATGAACATCCACCAGTTGAAATAAACCTTCAGATGCTTTGATTCCCCAAAATAAGAGCTCTAAAACCTGCAGGTGCCTTGTTGCTGCAAGTCAGGGAGGGCACTGGATAAATCTGCTTCCATAGGCTGGTGTGGGAAAATTCCAGTGGTTCCAAAGGGAAGTTCTTTGGGCAGACACATATTATACAGGATACATTTTCCCTGCCTCAGTTTCAACCCATTATTCTAATTAAAACCTCTTTTATTATGCAAATCATCATCTTCTCTATCAACGCTTCAATTTTCAGTTATTTGGGGCTTATATCAAAAACAGCTATTTCTATTTGTCCTTGCAGATCACCCTCTTGAGRTACTTTTACCTATTTCCAGCCCCAAATTTCTTTCTCCCATGTCTGGTGATGAGGGATGTTGTGTTCTTTGTGTCTTTCTCTTAAACACTCGAGGTTTTCCCCCTCTGACTCACAGGAACTGAGGATTCCTGGTTCATGATCCATATTTTCCTTGGGAATAAGAGGAACTGCCTGGGCTAAACCTCCTGTGTCAGCTTGGAAAGGAATGGTTTTGACTCGGAGCCACGCTGGAATCTCCTCTTTCTGGCCCAGTGAGCCTGACACGGCAATTCCATTTTTCATCCCAGCACTTCAATGACTAAAATGTTGATTTTAGAAGCTGATTATAGCAGTGGCTGAGGAGCACAGCTCTGGGGGATGATGGAGCCTGGAAAACCTCGATGATCTGGTGAATGTTGGCATCTCCTCGTGCCCACTCATGCCCTGCACACGGAAATGGGSAGCGTTACTAATGGGGATGGAGCTCGGCCACAGCATCACAAACACAGCAGGAAGAGAGAAGTTCAGTGAGCCCAGCTGGTTGATTTGAGGACTCAGTGCTCCCCACCACATATTTTGAAGGTTAAAATCTGATGCAGGAGAAGCTGGGACCGTATTTTCTCTGTGGAAACTATTCCAGAGTGAGAAGTAATGGCAGCCTGCACGGTGTGGGTGATGGGAAGCACCTCAGAGCCCAAAAACCACAGCAAGAGGACCCAGGGTGTCTGTGCTGCMTCTGGCAAAGATAAATCTGATTCTGTGGGATTCCTTGGATCACAGAGAGCAAAGCAAGACAGTGGGATCAGAGGGAGAGGGGCTGTCCTGCCCTACACATGCTCTTGGGGCCCTCTTGTGGGCCCTGCTCTGTCCTGGACCCCACTAAAAACCACCCACGAGCTGCCTCAGGAGGGATTAATTGATGTTTTATTAGGACAAGGGCTATTCAGGCTCCAAGGCAGCTGTGGCAGAGGGCACACATGAACAGCAGCCTGTGTGGCTCCAAGCTTTTCAGGCAGGATGTGTGTTTTCCTCAACTAATTCAGGAATTCTTGAAAGGCTCAACAGCTCAGTTTTCGTGGCTGATTCCACCACTTACATCTCAGGTATGCAAACGCTGTCCATGCTGAGCTGGTGGGTTTGTTTTTCCACATTTTCACGGGTCCATTTTCAYCTCCCAGGGAAGCACAGCCCAGCTCACCCCTTCCTGCCATCTCCATCCCACACACATTTGCAGTCACTGCTAATTACAGCCTTCACCCTCAGATGAGAGGTGAGCACACCAACACCCTCCATTTCTCTCACTCCACTTCCACTGTGGTTATCAGGAGCTGGGGGTTATATATACATTTATTTATATGCAGTTGTCCAACCTGATCATCTCATTAAGTGTGGACACAAATTATTGTAATTAATGACTGTGAGAGGACAGATTTTTACCAGCTGTAAGCCTCAAAGAACAGCACAGGAGCCATGTTCTGTTTCTAACCTTGTTCAGRGTGAAATAATTACACAAACTTCAAACTAAAAGGCTTTTTCAAGACTTACAAAATATGTCAAGGTGAGCAGAACCTCCACAAAAAAAAACCTGAGTAAAGATAATTTATTGCAAGGCCATGTTCCTCCTCAGTGGAGGTGTCAGCAGAAGAAACAGAAAGGTGCCAGTCCTGGCAGAGCTGTTCCTAAAGGACAAATACTTCCAGAATTGGAGTTTTACAAAGCTGAACCCCCTCATCTGTGGGAAATAAATCTGTGCCCATCGCAGGAATTGAAGTGATGMTATAGCTGGAAATTCTGTGAGGTTGGTAATAACTCCCTCTAGAAAAGTGGGATCATTTTGTTTGCTTCCCAGAGAAGATTAAGGGATTTCAGAAATGCAACCAAAAACCCCACCAGCACCACCCTAACCCACAAATATAGGGCATTTACATTCTTAACCACGGTGTTATTCTGATGTGTGTTTTCAGCCTGAATTTCAGCATTTCTGATCAACCTTTATGCACAGGCATTTGATGTAAATCAGGGTGGACTTTAAGCCATGGATTAGGTCTCTACTCAAGCTGATAATTATGAAAAAYGGATTCCTCTCAAGGAAAACAGAAATTCTGTGAATATTTTCCAGCTATATCATAATCCTGCTCCCCCTCCAAGCATTAAATTCTGATTATTTCCACTTCAAATTGTGACTTTTTCAAGCAATTCTTTCAAATCCTTTGGCAAGTTTCTCTGGTTTTACCCTACAAACTCAGTGAAAATAAAATTCCATTTGTYCTGAGTGATGTTAACCAAAGAAACAAGAATTATCAGTCCTCTAGATGGTGCTACTATTTCAAACAAAGCAKCTGGATGTTTGAAGATTTCCTTGAAATATATTCCAAAATACATTCCATGAGAAAGGACCACAGTGAGAAATCCTGACCCCAGTAAAAGAAGTGGTTTCATCTCACAGGGYAGTCTCTATGCAAACACATTGACTGCTTCTCTTTAAAAGCAGTGAATGCTCCAGTATTTTATTAATTGCAGAAAAATGATGAGATTTATTGTTGAAAATTATCTGTAGCTCAGCTGCAACCCCAGGAAGAGCTGACAGCCCTGGTTAAACACCTTCTTCACTCAGGGTTATTTATGTGTGCACTCTGAGGGGGGTGTTGAAGGCTGTTAACTGGGAGGTTTTAGGGATACAAGGAAAGAAGGTAAAACCATTTACATTTTCTTGCCCAGCACAGCTGCACAGGTCCAGCACTGAAATATGGAGCCAGCTGTCTGTAAGACAAACTTTCTCATCCTTAGTTCCTCCATGCCCAGTCACTTTTCAAGATGACAAAGTTCCTCCTATTCTTTCATCTCTTTCCTAAGCTCCCATCTGTATTTTCAGAAATCTGCCTATTTTCTCTCTCAGGTATTTTTCCTGATTCTCTTTGTAAATCCAGCCAGATGGGTTTTCAGCACCAGACTTTTTTCTCTGTTGTTGTCAAAGTCAAGAACAAAAACCTTCTAATTTTAAGATTATTATTGTTGTACATTATTGTACATCTGACCTTTGRAAACATATATTGTATATAACCACTATCTCTTACTGTGTGCAAAGTTCATCTGTTATCTAAATAAATGTCAAATTTGGGATCTTGTTAAGCTTTTAGCTTCAGTAAAATAACTGTGCATTTTTGGAGTTTACTCTGAGTGTAACAGAAACATTTCATTGATTTTGACTATTCAACCTTTAAAATTTCACAGAGAATATTTGCCCTTGTGTTAYGAGAAAAGAATAACATCTTTAGATCATTCATGATTTTGTATTCTTTCCACGTCCTCATTTATTTATCTGCTTTCCAAGAAACTTTCCCCACAGGAACACCCCTCTGGAACTGCTCTTTTACAAGTGCTTTTTTAATTTGGTTGGTGGGTTTTTGAGGCAGCAAAGCCACAAAATCAAGGCCTGTGCACGCTCACAAAAAAAAAAAAATAATACAAGAGACCCTAAAAGCAGACAGAAGGTTATTTTAAAAATAACCATGAAGACAYGAGCTTAAACAACAAGTAGTTTATTCAGCATACTCAGTGAATCCTTGCACATGGTAATTCCCTAAATCCTCTGACCTTTTTCCAAAAGTCCCTGTTCCTGTAAATGAAGTGCTCTATTGTCCTGCTTGTGAGGACCAGGAGAGGCAACCAGAATTACACTGACTTTGGAATTGACTCTTTCAACACCTCAGAATTTTCTGGCTCAAAATAAGGTTCCAAAACAGGTTTTAATTTGACTTCTTCTGGCAGCTTTTGAGTCTCTTCTCTCCTCTTCTCTCCATCTTTTAAAAGAGGAACCAATGTTTTCCAGTGCCTCCCTGAAACTAAAAAGGAAAGGAATGGTTATTTTTTTTTCCCTCCATAGAAACAGAGGAACACAGACAAGTGGTTTGATAGGAAGCTGATGAAAGAAGAAGAAAGAAGCAGGAAGGAAGACTTTGTGGTTTTTTTCCTCATCCTGTTCCACGAGTTTTCCATATTTCAGCTGGCTGCACAGTTAAATGCTTTGGTGCTGGATGCTGAACTCCCAATCTGTAGGRTTTGGAGTCTCCAAAGTATTTATTCCAGAGAGTCAAACTGTGAGCAATGAGCCCGTTTCATCCTTTGCATTTTACAATTAATCCATGCTGCTGCTATCACCAGAGTGCAGCCCACACCAGGRTTTAGGTCCCTGAAAGTCTCACCTCTGCCAGGTTTAATAGAGAAGCTGGCGTTTCGTCTGAGGTCCCCACCGTACCCAGGGTCTTCGTTGATTATGCCCAGATTAGTGTTCCACGTGGACCAGTTCACTTCATCAACCCTGGGAGAAAAAAACAAACTCAATATCTATTCTAAGGATCACCAGACAACTCCAGGGTCAGCTCATATCACAAACTGCCACTTCTCCAGCCTCAGATCTGACCCAAAAACCAGGTTAAACTGACCATTCAGAGTGCTCCAGGGGAAAAGTTCTGCTTCCCATCACCAGATATCTCAAAGCTGTTTGTCTACAAAAGATTGTTGGCTTGATACACAAACAAACARGTTACCTAAAGCACCATCTGTAATCATCTTGGCCATCAGGTGTGATCCCCACCAGGACTTGCTTCCCAGACCGGAATGAGTGTCTCAAACAGTTCAAGTAGCTGTTCTCAATATCCAGGATTGTGATGGCTCTCTGCCAGGTAAGAGAAAGCAGAGCACTGAGAGGCTGCTGGTCAAAGTCAAAGAAATCCTGAATTCTGCCTCTGTTTTAAAAACCCTGAGTTTTTATCATTGCCARCATCTTAGAGGAGATACTGTAACAGTATCTGCAACATCAGGCTCTGTTAATATGTCACTGAAAATGCTGAATTGCTGCCCGGTAAATAAAACCATGACTAAAAAAAAAAGATTCTGGTAAAGATTGGTTTTCCCCTTACATAATCCCTCTGTTCATAGTCTGATCAGGATTTTCCACCATACAAAACCCAAATAATTTTGTCTTATTACAAAAGTACTTCTTTCCTTAAATTCTGAACATCTGTGGAACACTGGGAACATCTGCTTAKGCAAAACATCAAATACACATGGAAAAGGAACTAATACACTTGTTTTTCAGTAATTGCTCACGCGGATCAGAACAAAGCAGTGACATGTTATTTAGAAACATGGCAGTTCCTAAAGATTCTCTCCAAAATTTTTTATGATTCCCCACGTCCTTTTTTATGGACAACAACCCCACAGAACCAACKTACTTGGAGTTTCCAGATGCTCTTGCTCTCCTGTGCAATTTTGTTGACAGTCTCCCCCATCAGTGCAATGAGCATGTTGAGCAGGAGGATGTAGGTGAGGATGACATAGAGAACCAGAAGGATGACAAACACTGACTTGAACCTGTAATTCTCTGTGAAYTCCAGGTCTCCCATGCCAATGGTGAACTTGAAGAGCTCCAGGCAGGTGTAGTAGAGGCTGTTGTAGGAGGTGCGGCCTCGTTTCACGTGGCAGCATCGGGCATRGTCAGAGATATTTATGTCCTGCCCCTCATTGTCATCTTCAATTAAAGTCACCACAGCTGTGGCAAAAGAAGAATCACATTCAGGGGATGAAAACACAGCTTGAGATCATAATTTCATTGCAAGCAATGAAAATGAGCWGCAAGGTAACACACATTCCCTCTATGGTACATTGACCCCRGGGAAATTGTCCCATAAAATATTCYCCATAACTGACACCATCTTAGCAGGTGCTGTCTCARTTTTCTCCACACAGAACAGGATGACTGGTTTTCTACTCAGCTTTGCAACCCAGGGATGAAAAGCGGTATGAAATCACAACAGATAATTGTTACTCTGAATTTTTTTTTAATTAGGTTTGTTGCCAATTTTAGTTGGGAACAAAAAGTCTAAGCACCTCGAAAAATAAAATTTTCTGAGACTCTTTAAGGCAACAAAAGGTAATTCCAAGCAGAATATTACCTGTAGAAAATCCCAAAAGGAATACAAGATAGACAAACATGAAGCGACACAAATCTCTAAGGATCATCTGTAACAYGGAAACAGATGAAAATATTTAAAAACTTGAATGTAAACTGCAACAAAAATTGTTAGATGTTTTAGCTCAAGTAGACATTTGCTGTGAACTGGCTGTTGACACATTAAACTGTTGTTTATCCTGCTGAGATAATAAACCTTAATACAGAAAACATTTTCCTGTTATTCATGCAACTATTTACAGACAAATGCAGCACATACACATGGGAACAGTTCCCTCTTTGTGAGTACAAACCACATAAAAACAGTTSCATCTTTCTTCCCCTCTTGGGCTGGCTGGCTACATCACAGAGAGGTTTATTAGCCAGCTACTGCCTCTTAGCTAATTGCTCTGTTTGGCAACATTTTAACAATACCTAGAGAAATTTCCAGCTGGTAGAAAGCTGGACCATTTTACACCACTGTTCTCAACCTCCTTTCATCCATGCTTATCCAACTGTAGTTATTTTGAAGCACGGCGGGTAATAAAAACAATAATAATCATCATCATCATCCTATCAAGACTGCTGTAAAACATATGGATGAGGAGCAGGAGGTTTTTCTACATCACTTAAATTTTATCCCTTCACTCAGAAAATAACAACAAACAATAGCAGAGTCATATGAGAGGTGGATCTGGAAATGGGGCTGTTGGCAGCAGTGCCCTGCTCTGAGCACTCTGCTGTTCCCTCACCCGCTCCCTGCACTGACCTTGGCGATCATGACGGAGTAAATTCCCATCTGCTGGAAGCCACGGGTGTAGTAGAGCATGTTGGTCCAGCCCAGGGCCAGGGAGAACACCATGGAAGCCACATAGAGCTCCTGGCCACAGAAGTACAGCACCACGGAGCTCAGCAGGAGCAGGGAGTGGACAAAGCTGGAAAAGAAGTGTGGTGTGAATGCAGARGGATGGGCTGGCTACAGGTGCTGGGAACACAGGAGCCCATGGGGTGGACAGCAGAACATGGGATTCTCCAGTTGGGAAGAGAAAGGGCCCTTGAGAGACAAAGCTCCCTTAGCAATGGGAGAATTTCTGTATATCCAATGCATAAATCCACCTTGGAGATCCGTTCCTAACTGCTGAATGACACACTGAACATTCAGACATTTAATTGGCTTTACCTCCACAGCAGGTCWCTGATCCAGACCCATTTGCTCAATGACATCCCCAGGCCACTGTGTCATAAAGACCCAGGGAATTATAGCCAAGCACCTATTCCAGGTGGCTTCAGCCTAAACTACAGATCCCACACACTCCTCTGTTTCAGGCTGAGATGAAATCAAAGATAATGGAGCTTACAAAAGAACCTCACTGTAGCCATCAACTATCAGTGTCTTGAGTGATGGGCGTCTCTGTACGAAATATTGGATCTGAAAAGAAAAGGGAACAAAGACCAAGTTTGCATCAAGGAAATATTGATTCCCTGCAAATTAATCAGCTAAGCACTGACCCCTGTACCAGGGAGCTGGTACCCATAAAACACCTCACAAGAACAGCTGAAAGACAACACAGGTGCAAGGTCTAAGGAGGATTCTTCCAGTAACACCAGGTCAAGGAAAAAGATTTGTAGCTCTTGACTAAAACATGGATTATCTTAGCAGCCAATGCTAATGAACAGGAAAAGCTTGTTTTAGTCTCTCCTATGTCTACCCAAATGGCAAAAGGAAAATTTTCAAACATCTTACCCCTCTGAAAAAAAAATAGAGGCCTCCCAGTACACTCARGATCTCTCCAGTTACTCGAAAATACTCCCCAGTGCTGTAACCAAAGGTGAAGGGAGGCTGTAAAAGACAGRAAAATAGAAATGTTCATCAGAACTGGAGTTAGGAAAGACCTGACCTTGCCAGCAGCTGGAAGCAACTCCATTTCTGGGGGAAYAGATGAAGTTTCTGAATGTGCTGCAGCAAGGAGGAAAGACCGGGAAGGAAGCAGGGTCAAAATCTCTCTCCTGCCTTCAGGAAAGAGGAAAATTCTGATGTTAGGAGCACACTTTCAAATGGGAGGCAGATTTGGGATGTCACGCAATGGGTGGTTCCCCTGACACATGCCACAAATAACGTACCTTTTCATTCTTCTGCACAGGTCTGTAGTAAGCAGCTGCAGTGAGGATGGTGATGTGCATGGTGTAGACAAARAAATTGAAGTAAAATAAGTGCTTGACAAACCGGTCCCACTTGTCTTGCAGCAGCCTGTTCAGGGGCTCCACCAGCAGCATCTCGTGACGGTTCTGAGCAGGAGAAGAAGGAGAATTTTACTGGGACCAAAATATRCTGGACTTTGAAAAACACCATATGATATAAATCTTCAGCAAATGATTCCTCTAGTTCCCTTAAACTCAGGGTAGGAGGTTGCTGTTCCATGGGAATGAGGGAGAATATGAAGCTCTCCCACAGGCAAGGAGGTGCAGTACTCACCGGTGTCTCACTGCTGTAGGCAAGGATCTCAAGCACTGAATTTTTCTCACAGGTGTCTATRCAGGACAGGTCATAAAGAGAGGAGTGGACAGGTCCATAGGCCCATTCAGTGAACTTCCTGGACAAATGTCTGCACTCRGGGTCTTTGATCTCTCGTCTGAGGATGTAAGCGAAAATCTAATTGCAAAAGAACAATACAACCAACATTTCAGTGCTAATGGACTTCTCATTCCTCAGCCTCTCCACAAGACAGGAAGGATAATTTCTCCCTAGTTTAACTGAGCTGAAGCCAAAACACTTGAGCACTCCAGAGATCACAGTCTGAAATAAAAACAGTTAATTTCCTCACTGTGTGCTGGGAGATGAGAAATATAAATACCTTTTACAACTTGGCATTATCTGTTCCAAAACTGCAAGAGAAAAGCAGAGGTATGTAACCTCTCTGAACACAAGTCACTTTGAATGGGGACTGCCAGAAAATTAGTTATATCAGCCAGTCAAAAGCAAAARAGCTCCAGTGGCTCAGATAATATCAGAGAACACTTTCTGTTTGCTCTGGGGCTGCCTTGCATACCAGTGGGGTGTGAATAACCCACTTTTAAACTTTTAAGCTTTTAAGGACTGTGCAGTTAAATGGCAGCATCAGTTCCTCTAAATTAACAGGCCCCAATAATAAAGTCCTAAAATCYACCCTGTATAAATGTTTTACCTGTTCTCTCTATAATGTGATACAGTAACGGGACAAAGACCTTTGTTCACCTACCCCTATCTTCCCTGTTTTGGCTGCCAGAGTTAATGGAGTCAGCCCCTTCTTGTTGGTGAGTTCTTCCAGCTTGACGATGGGATTAATTTTGGCACCAAGGATCAATATGTTATTATACATCTTGGTTACAAACTTGGTGTTATCCTTGGTGTTATCTGCAATCTCCACCAGTGTGTGCAGCACCATGTTGCCCATGGAGTCCTCAGCAGTGATGTCAGCTGCCTGGTAGGGATTCTCCAGGAGGAATTTCACAATGCAGAGCTGGTTGGTGCAGGCAGCCAGGGACAAAGGCAGCTCCCCTATGGCAAGCAATGAGAAGGAGTGGTCAGAAAGCACAGTAGTAGAGGTGCATAAACAAAAACATCACATTGTTTACATCTCCACCAKGAGAAAAGGTGAATTTCTCTGTCTGAAACAGCACCAATTCTTGTGACAGCTATTAGAATACATTTTCTTTGGTTTAACTGCATCACAGAAATACAACTTCTTTAAAAAACCCTGCCAGAACAGGAGCAGAAGGTTACAGAGGATATAGTGCTCAGAGAACAAAGGAAGCTGACACCGAGCCCACACTGAACACCATCAGCTACCAGCTGTGTTTCTTTATAAGCTCAGTTTTTGAGAGGAAATATTTGGCCCAAAGGTGGAATAGCCCATCTGGTACTTGTGAGCCTCCAGTCCCACATAAACAGGATTATTTAACAGCTTGCATTTGGGATGCTGCTAGGACAACTCAATCAATAAAGCCCATACTGTGCTCACTCCTACCAAAATAAAAGCCAGATTTCCCTTTGATTTTCCTGAAGAACTCCCCACAGGCTCTGGCATGAACATCTGCTCCATTCTGGACCAGGAGCTTCACCAGGTACATATTCCTCCTCTCGATGGCAATGTGAAGAGCAGTCTGGCCTACAGAGACATACATCAGACAGAAATCTTCAGCATTTAGTACAGACTGAGAGCTTTCAGCACTGCAATTCCCTCAGCTCCACGTAAGATGGTGGAACTGAGAGCTCTGCCTGCTAAAAAGCTCTAGAAGTGAACAAGAAAAAAACTCACACAAACAGCAAATGCAAGTCATGAAATCACTGTGTATCAACAATGGCAGAATATTGCACCTAACAGGACACAGCCCCAGAACAAATGCACACAYGTTTAATCACACACTGGAACTTTGGGGTGCATTAAGGCCTCATGCACAAGACTTTGAGAGCCCTGCTGACTCCATTTCARCCTGACTACCCTCAGCATTCTCTGCAGCAGCTGTTTCTCTTACCCTTGTAGTAGTTGTCAGTATATTCTGCATTAACAAACTCTTTCAGAGTTCCAGTTTTCCTTGCAATATCCAGCAGCAAGGGAATGGTGTCATTTTTCCCATCATGTAGATTCAGCATGGCTTTCAGTAAACAGGTTTTCCCAGTTTCAGGCTCTATAACACAAAAAATTGCAGCTATATAGAAGTGATTACAAACCTACCATCCATATCCAGGCAAGCAGGAATTAATGAGGCTCTTTTCAAAAGACAAGAAACCTCATTTAGTGTTTCACATAAAATTTCAACTCCTGTAACCTTACAATCAATGTGTTGCCCAATCAATAGGGCTATTAAAGGACCTCCTGCAGACATGTAACATAATTATCTTTTTTCGTTTTCATCTCAGTAACCCTACTGGAAAAAGAAGAGGGCCACTCAAAGTATGTGACATTAAAGGGTACCTTTGAATTCCTCATCTGTGAGATGCTTGAAGGTTCTATTAAGGTAGAGTAGTAGGTCACTGAGGTCCTTTGTGTTGCCTTGGGCTACAGCATCAAAGATCCTTCTACGGTCATAAAATTTGAAAGCTTTTTCTGAGCAGCCTGTTATGGAATCTGTAGATAGGAACCTAAARAGGGGAAATGCCAGTTAGTTAAAGTCAGATACTAAGCAGGCTTTTGATAAACKACCAGAATACTGGTTTTCATTTGCTTGGGTGAAACAGTAAACACTGCCATTTAGAACAGATGGATCTGCAAAGACTACAAGACCAACAAAGTCTGCAAGCAACTCTCCTGATAAAATCATGGTTCTGTWGCTGAAAAGCTGAGAACAAGACTTAGAAGAGGCATTGAAGTTTGGCAGTGTAACTACAGGCCTGGAGCCAGGCAATCCCTTATTCCCACTCTGAGCCATGTCCATTCACTGAACAGCCTCAAGCAAATGAATTAAGGCCTACTGCCAATTTTGGGCATAATATCCATGGACTGAATTTTGGGAGATGCCAAGAGAAAACAGTTATTGTCACTTTCAGTTGCAACACTCCTTCATCTGGCATTGAAAATAGTGAAACTGAAAAAATGGTCAGACTACAGTGAAGGGAACAAATGCTGCTCTAAGAAACATGGCATGCAGTCATTAAACTACTCATTACAACCACATCTGACAATGCAAACTTACTTGTGAAATTTCCCCCTCTCTAGATTCACGTGGAATTTGATGACAGAAGGTGCCATCAGGTGATCCATCTGGTAAAAGGAGTCCATGGGAGCCATGTCCTGGTCACTGTCCCCCATGACAAAGCGGCCCCGTCTTGCAAAGATGTTGCTTTTGGGTGGCTGCACCTTGGTGCTGAGTGGGGCCTGGGRGTTGTCAGGGGTTTCCTGGACAGAGTCCTCCCCATCCGTGTGTTCGTCTGTCACTTCAGAATCCTCCATGTCAAAACTGCCRAATTTCTTCATCTTCCCCAGAATGGAAGACATGATGAGCCAGCAGTCTGTGAGAAAGGACAAAATACCTCAAGTCAGCCCTTCACAGGGCCATGAGTYCCCTTTTGCCTAGGAATGTTTTCCAGAAACAGCAGGGAGCAGATTGGTTTCTCTCATCCCAGAAATGAGGCAGATGGACCCATATTCACTGTGCCCACAATCGGAACAGTTTAGTAGGTCATTACCTCTATTCCATTTGTTCCTGTTCCCACTGCCCTTWCCCATTCCAGGATGGAGAAAGCAAACCAGAGCATCCCAGAGCTTCCTGCCCATCTCACTGCAGAGCTGATTAATTCTGCTTAAAACCAGTACCTCATCCTCCTCCAGTCACTGGTAAAGCCTGAACAATCTCAACCCCCARCAACCTCTGCTTTTCTTCTCTACTTTCTGACTGGTGTGTGCCACAAACCATTCTCATGATTCTATCAGGCATGTGTATAAAGCCCTGCTTGTGTCGTAGCTCTMTGTCTGGGATGCTGAGCACAGAGGGCTTCCTGCACCCAGGAAAATGATCCCTTAAGGGCTTCTTTGCCAGAGCTATGGCAATGCCTGATGGAAACTGGAGTGTGTGATCCTTGAGAGATGAGTGTCACCTCCGACACGAGGATGGAAACAGAGAAGGAAAGCTTACCACAGATAAGATATGACTGTAACACCACATGGCTGATCTTGTCTGATTCTCAACCACATAAAACCTGACACAGCTTAGAGACACRCTCTGAAATCCTACATTGCTTGGAAATCCTACAGCTTTGAGCACAGGAATGACACTAAAGCTTTAAAAAGCCTTGAATAATAAACCACATTAGATAGGCAATCTTCTCTGTGCAGTCAGTGTGCAAACAGCATCATAAACATGTTCAAGGTTGTTTCTCACCACGAGATAAACATTCTGTGRGTTCTCAGCAAACCTACATTGTACATTAAAGCTGGATTTTCAGTTCTACAGGAATAGCACCAATTTACATCACAGTTCATATTTACATCAAGGGTCACTTATATTTTTATGTGAATGTAAGACAGGAAAGAAAATTTTGTCTTTTGCATTTTCTATAATTTTGTACAATATACATGTAAAGAAAAAACMCATTTGCAAGCTTGCACTTTTAGGGCTACTGAAAGCAAACCAGCACAGCACAGACAAACTGCAATTTAACTTGCTCACCTTGCAAGTTCTCTGTGTCCTTAGAATCACTCTGAAAGAATAATGTAAATCTTATTAACTTAATTATCCTATAATAAGAAATAAAAATATTTCTATTTGGAATAGGATTCTAAAATTACAGTAGAATTATTAGTTTGGTGAAAAAGAAATAAACATATATAAAAACCAGAAAAAAGCACAGTGGGAATATAGTCATGTATAATTTATTTTTTTTGTCTTATTTAAACTCATGTGGATTGAGCCAAAAACTATCAGCGAGATGGCTATGGAAAACAGAACCTCTTACTTTCCACAGGATAAATATAGTATTAGAATATGCAGAATAGGCTCAATCCTGTCTCTCTGCTCAAACCTACATTATATGCTCTTTCTAAACCCTGTTGGTAATATATTTGATAATGAAGACAAAACTGAATTTCCCCATGAGTATGAATTTGCAAGGGAAACAACCTCCACAAATCTGTAGAAGGATTATTTAAGAAAACACTAAGTATTATCTAGTTGAAAAAATGCACAACATATTTGAACTCTTTGAAACCCMGAAGTTTGATACAATAAATAAGGAAATATTTTTAATAGAATGCCTTGCCACATTACAACTTAAAACAAGTAACAAAGAGGTTAAAAATAACTAATAACCATGCTACTCAAACACACATGCAGAACTTACAAATATTGACAAAAATCCTGTCTTCTGAGAAAYAGTCCAGTCTCAGTAAACACCCACTGATCTACTGGAATTCAGTGCCAGATATTCYTCCTCCAAGGTGCTGGACTGAAAAGCCCTCAGAGTTTGCTTCTCCACTTCATTTGTCTGCAAAATGCAATGATTTTTAGAACCAAGGGAAGTTCACTGGAAGAACAGAGAATAGAGCAATAAGATAATTAAGAACAATTCTGGAACCAGAAGCATCAGAGGCTTCTACCCCCAGAGGTTTAGCAAAGCTCTTTACAAGAATTGCAGTAAGTTGCTGTTGTTTTTCCCTCCCCTTTAATTGCATTTAGTAATGGATATTCTTTTCCAGATTTCCTCTTCGTAATTACACTCAAATTTGCAAAAAAAAAAAACCAAAAAACTAAAAACACCCAAACCACCAGACTGCAATTGTTTCTGGGGGTCACAGTCTCAATTCAATTTACAAAACTTTGTAAAATATGCCACAGTCACCTTTCTGGACACCTTTCTCCAGTGGTTGATTTAAAGATARATATTTTAAAGATAAACTAATTCAGAGAAGAGTTGAGGAAGAAGCAATGACAGAAGGTCCTAAAGCCTTTTTATTGTTCCACGCTCCTCCTATGTTTTAATTTTTGTGTGTATATACATATGTATCAGCTTCTAAATATTAATGTCATTAGGAAAAACACCAATTTATCCAATCCAGGATGGATCTAACACCCTTAAAAATTCAGAGCTGTGTCATATATTGTTAAATATATCATTTATATAAGATCTTTCTGAAAAAAAAACAGTCTAGAGAAACAGTTTTTTCAGTGGCCAGGCTGACAGGCTGTAACTGTTAGGCTGGGAGCAACCCCAGACTTCTGAGGTTTTGAGTAGATAATTAAATCATTCAATGAATTTATCTGTCTTCTGTTTTTGCATAAGGTAGCTGTCTCTCTAGTCTTGCCATCTATCCAAGGATATATAAAAGAATTACATATTTGCCTATTTAATAGCAAACCAATTATGCTCCTTAGAACACCCTGTGGTACTCAGAGTAACAAGCCTATTTATTAATGCATAAATATAGATTACCAATAGGCAGGTCCTGGTCCTCAGCCATATCCAAGATGCTGCAAAGGCTTTTGATGCAACAGCATCATCACCCCTTTCCTATTATTCAATAAAAATRAAAGCAGATCTGCAGATAAAAATTATAATGAGAGAGGGAAAACAACATATAACAGATTCACACCTTTTACAACACCTTTAATTAYGTCTTAATTTTCTCTGGAATATGCCAAGAGTTCCTTAAACAGGACATGAAGTAGAAATTAAGCCATCTCTGTAATTAAGATCTCAGACTTGGCACAGCTTTCTCACCATAAAAATGTCGGTCCTGATGTTGCCAATGAGCAAGAGAGGAATCCTTGTCCATATTCCAGCAGAAACATTGCTTCCTAGGAATGAAACTGTATCCAGGTARCATGAAACATCTTACTTGGCTTCCCAATGTTCATTTGAGCAAAAGAAATGTACATGTAGATAGAAAAGTATAAATGTTTTAAAATAAAGACTAAGAAGAAAAAGAAATTCTAAGAGCATAACAGAGGGGCTAAAAACTTGGAAATTTTAAGGGAATGCACACAAGCATCAGAAWAAGTTACAGACAGCAACTCAACTTATTTCCTATCAAGAAAATGAACCCCACATGAAGTGTCTTTCTATGTCGAAAGTTAATGGATCTTTCCCAGTCACTCAGATAAATTTAATGTGATAATTACTTCTCATTTCACAAATGGGAATGACAGAGCAAAAAAATGTGCAGACCCAGGAGAAGCAGACACTAAATGGAGGAGTTTTGTCCCTCTGTAACGAGTCAGAGTGCCTGTTGGACAAAGTGAAAAAACTACTTTTCAATCAGGAAAAAACAGAAGCAGCATCTCAGGCCATTCCAAATAATGACTTTATTTACTATGGAACATCACCATAGCTGCCCCCACAGCAGCATCCACATCCTTCCCATAAACCACAGGGAATGGAAAAATCCTTTCCACTTCCTGCCTCAGCACCTCATTCCTGGTTAGAGCACTCCCACTGCCCAGGATCCTCCTCACTCCCATCTCCACCAGGTGCTGCACAGGTAACATGGAGCACAGGTTCTCCACGATGCCACGGCACAGGGCTCTGGTGACATGGCCCAGGGACAGCTCTGTGCCATCAATGTTGSTCACTGATGCCAACTGCTCAGGAAGGTGTCTCTCTCCAAATATGGTTGGCTGGACGGAGAGTTTGCTGGRCTTTTGGGTCAAGGCTGCTTGGATTATCCTTGGGTAGATGGCAGATTCCTGAACCTGAAGTCCTGCAGATGGGAAAGATCATGTTATTGATCTGAAGAGGTACTTACTTGAGTACTTACTGAAACAACATTTTCAGAGCTTATTTCTCTAGGGCAAAACCCGAGGGATTACTAAAAAAACTGTGAATGCCACGCTTAAAGCACTTAGAAGATATTCCATCATTTGGAGTCTTAAAATGCATTAGAGTGCTRCAAAATATGGACCAAAAGGACTCCTCTGGATTGCAGTCACACAAAATTAGAGGTTGTTGTCTTCAAGTCTGCCAATCTTGCCTTTTGAAAATCAACTTACACAAAATAATTCTGTCCTTTAACAAAAGACCTAGAGGCAACGTGGAGTCCGAGCATGACTGTCTCAGCATGTTCAAAAGCYTCAGCAGGAAATTCCAGAGATCTAGGAAGCATGACCCAGGAGTTACATCCTTGTTCCCTTCATGGCACGATGGAACAGCTTGAGGCTTGTTCCTTTGCCTCAGCATCGTTTTAACCTTGATGATCAACCTCAGCTTTAATCTTCACCTCTCCTTGAAATGACTTACCCAGCTCTTGTGTCCACTGTGCCACCATTCCCACAAATGCTGCAAGCACATTTCCTCCATTAAGTGATGCTGCCACTGCCAAGTAGTCACCATTGAAGTAGGGAAAATAAGTGACAGCTGAGGAAGGATCTGGTGCCTCTGGTGGTTGGAAACCCAAGGGCATTGAGATGGTCAGCTGAGCAGAGGTACTGATATTAAGAACTAAAACACACAGAAGAAAGGAAAAAAGAAAATAATGACTATTTTTTTTCAATACTAAGCTATCCTGATGGAGAACAATGAAAAAACCCAATTAGATTCCAAAATGACCATACCTGCATCAGTCCTCTCAGTCAGGCAGGAATAAACAGAACACTGGAAATCTCCCAGAGCAATTCCTACTTTTGCTCCCTTGGGTATTCCATGCCATGCACAGGCTGTCCTGCCTGCAATGCCGCCAGGGTCTCCCACCTCTGGAAGCAAGTGAACAGGAAAGCTGGATTTTTTCAGTCTGGAAGCAGAACAACATCATTGGAGGAAAGCAGTTTGGGAATGCATGGCATTAGTACAAAAAACTCTTTGAAGTCACAGATGAACCTGGYCACACATTTGTGGCTGCTGGATTTATGGATGCTTTCACCTATTTAGAAAGCTTTGTCTTGGACAGGGCCAGCATTCCAGTCCAGTGGGCTGGGTAAACCAGTCTGGAAGAATAAATAGTTTTTCTTTCTRTGTAATCTGAGCATCTGAGATTATACAGGACATGTTCAGCAAGTTTAACCCACTGATGTCATAYGGACAAGCAGGTCCAGGGTAAAGGGACAATCACAAAACCAGAAAARAATGCAGCTAAATCAAAGAACTTGTCATGCAATTAGTGGTTTACAACCAAATCACAACATGTTAAGTCCAACAAACTCCTTACACAATCAGCTGCAGGTAGGTACTACAGTACCACCACATTAGTAAAAGTTCAGTCAGCAAAATGCAAATTTGTCACTCTTTCATACCTTGATGAGAAGATCTTTCACCTTGGAGTCCTGGCCTAACCTAAGCCCTGAAATATATAAGGCCTTAGCACTCAGCCCTGAAAGAGCAAATCATTAAAATAAATAAGCAAATAAGTAAACTGATTCCCTCTCAGATTTCTTGTAGCTKAATAGTTCAAGTATTCCCACAGGTAAGTCTTAGCAGCTATGAAGCTCAGCTCAAAGAACTACAGAGAGGTAACTGTGTTTGCCATGACAGAGGTGATGCTGTTGGCTGCACTTGCCCACCCCATCCCACCACAGAAAGGGAGAGAACAGTTTGGTCTCACGGCTGAGTCTCTCAGCTCTGCTGTTGGAAGGTATTTCTAAAAATACTGATCAGATTCAAACAGAGCAAGACAGAGCAAACTCCCAATAGCCCTTCAGTACAGGCCTCTGTTGATTAGGAGGAACTTTCAATCCCTTTTTATCTGTAGCACATCAATGCTCAGGACCCAAAGAGGGGCTCACACTGCCTGACACCAACAGTGCACAAACCCTGCTGAATAACCTTAGCACTTACATGTCAGTGTTCCAGCTCTTGTTTCTGCAGTTAAAATAYCCCCAGCTGGCAGCATTCTGGACAGACATGAGTGGCTTCTTCAGGTCACACAACATGGCAACCACATAGTCCTGGATAGTGCCAGCTGCATCATAAGACTTCAGAAAATCTGGACTTTTAAACAAGACAWTTGAAAAACAAATGAGGGGCTTTGCTTTATGGCAGTGAGAAAAAGACAACTTTCACTGCTACAGCAAGTCGCAGACATGTGATCCCATCTAAAAATTAAATAGMCACCTCAGTGATCTTTTGCATTTTGTTATTTGATTTTTTAAACGGAATTTGTTTTCCAAGCTGCAACAATCCTCATCTCCATCTGGAAGCTGCAGAGAGAGCAGCTTTAAGGAATGAGTGGTCTAGGTTCAAAAGCACAGCATTGCCAAAGTTACTAGGAAAGTAGTAATTGTTTGCATGGAAAAAAACAGCACTTTGTTAATTCTGGAGCATTTTCTAAAAGCAGTTGAATTTCCACTTGCTCTGGGATCTATAAATCATATGAATGGAAATGTACCAAATGGTGAAGAAAAACAAAGCATCTGCACTCATGAGTCGGACAGCTTGAAAGCAAGATCACACCACTCTCCATATATTTGCTGGACATGCTCAGRAAGAAACCAAGATCAAATACATTTTCCCCATTTATTGAACTTGAACTCATTGCTGAGGAAAAGACTGGCTCTTTGAGAAAGATGAAACTGAAGAGCAAATCTTCTGATGCCAAGTCATAAGTGAAAAATTGCGTACTCAGAAAACATGCCACAACAAAGCAGAGCATTTGTGTCACCTCATAAGGATCTGTCTCAGTGTCTGAGGAAGGAAGGAACTGAAATTAATTTAGAGACTCTTCATTTTAGCATCTGGCAGCAACCAGACCAAGCAACTCTGTTACTGTTTTAGGCATGTCTGTACTTTCCACAAAGCTGCACAAGGCAAAATGGCAGTGCTCAAACTGCATTAGCAGAGCTTCTCTGAGCAGCGTGACAAACTAGAATTATTCTATGATACTTTAAGGCTTCTGTTCCTATATGGTCATAAGCTTTTCTTTTTATTAGAGATCCGTACTATTTTTATGAGGTCAGAGACTCTTGCATGCTCAATTGCATATAGTTTATATTAAATACTGCCACTTTAAATATTCTTTGACTACTTAATTAAGATTATGATTGCACAGGAACGCAGCCCCTCAGCCTGTAGCASCATTAACATGCTGCAGGAATACTAATTGTCACATAAATTCAAGATGAGAAACAGCCTTTTGAGAAGCAATKTACCTGTTCTTTAAATACCAGTAGACTGTGGCACATCCAAATCCTGTAGCCAAGCTCACGTGTGACTGTGGCAGGGGAAGAGAAGAGAGGAAGGTGGGGTTGCAGCGGCCATCCTGCCAAGTGACCAAGTGACTGACCTTGTCTGGCTCAAAGGCAGGGCCTGTGCCACCCTCTGCCCACTTGCAACCTGAAAACAAAACAGAACCTATGAAGTCCAGTGAATCCCTGCAGCATAGCCTGCTCAGCATTCCTCATTTCTGGACACACTTGAAAATTTGTTAAATATATTAGCAACAGAGCCAGTAGACCCTGTGATCAAATTACTCAGAGTTTTCAGCCCCAGATAATGTTATAATACAAATCATCCTTTGCTAACACAGAGAATGGTATCCAAAGTCATCATTCTCTTGAAGAGAGATATTAAAGATACAACTTAAATGACAGCTGAGCCACAAAAAAAATATCCCAAGCACAGCCCTGCTGTGGAAGGTAAGGAGCTGTCACAGCAGCTCTCACACAGAAACCTGTGGGCTGTGCCACATCACCATCTGGGGAATGCTGCATTAGTAAAGAACTGCCTGGGGTGGACAGTACAAAGCTGTACCACCCTTAGAGCCAAAGCAACAAGAAATTTGGATCTGTATTAACCAATGGACTGCAAAGTACTGAAGAGTAAAACCCTCATGTACTACACAACGAAGTTGCACCAAAGGTAGGACAGGATTTAATGCAGTTTCCCCASACCAGCACATTCTTTTTGAGCAAAGAACACCACACCTTTGAGGAAACCTTCACATTCTTTCACTGAAGGAGAGGCTGGGCTCAAGCACTGTTTGCCAGCACATTCCATGGCACAGCTCTGACCTCTCCCAGGCCATCCCTGGACACAATGCAGGGATAGGACAGGCCACTCATTATGGAACTGAGGCAAACTCTTGGGTTTTGGCCAGGGAGCAGAGTTTCAAGCTGTGCTGTGCCATTTGTCCTGCAGGTCAGTGAAGAGACTCAGCTGCCTGACTCGCACAAATGTGGCTAAAAAAATTCTTGGGCTGGATACAGAGATTAGGAGTCACACTCACACAATAAACAGCAGCCTGAAAGCTGGGAGGTGCCATGAGAAACATGCAAAACAAAACACATACTTTTTCTTGTTCCCTCAATTCCCTGTTCTATCAAATCTGTTTCAACTGAATTTCCAATTGGTTTGCTTTTCTAGTTTTAAATGGATTCTAAGAAATATTATTAATCATAAATCTAACCCTAAAGGACGCCATTAAATTTTTTATTTGTGTCCCAAAGCTCCTGGATTCACTTAGCCCACTCAAAACAAATGAGAGCAAACACCCTCTTTCACTTGATACAAATGAAACTAAAGTGGCATGTGGCTTTAGGACATAAAATATTTACCAATATGACATAAGAATCTGTGCCTGTGTGTCCACAAGGCTTTGTTATGCAGCTCCTGGGACAGCTGGAAAGCAACAACAGCTCCTTCGGTCCATCAGCCTTTGGATTTCTTTCTTTCTAATCATTTTTAGTATTTAATGTAAAATTACAGCCTGTAATGAATAGTACAGTGCCTCTTCAAGCAATTAGGACCCTGACAACTTCTGACAGGCAGTGACCAGCACTTCTGGGAAATCTWCTCTGTGGTTTACAATAAATCTTTACTTAATCTGCATAACTCCTGTTATARTAAGACTTGTATAATTGTCCAGATGAATACTTTAGAGGGTTAAGAGAAGGAAGCCATGGTACCACACTCTGGAAACTGTGGACTTCAGCAGGTTTAKAAGGCCTTAGCCAAGAAGATAATCCACCCCTATCTCACAGGGCTGGACATCCAAGGCCTGGATTCTTCAAATATCCTCACTATCACAAGGATTATCTGGGTATTTGCACAATGAAGCCCCACATGACTACCTCACTGCAGCTGATTTTGTTTCTGAGGTCTTGGCAAGCAGCTGAGCATCCACAATCATGACCACAGTTCTTTCTCAGCTCCTACTAACAGAAGCATAAGCAACAAAATGAATGCAACATGACAGTCTATGACTTGCTAGAAAAAAAAATCTTGAAATTTTGGGAAAAAAACCCAGAAAGTTATTGAGATGCTAGACAGCATCTAAGTAAGGGTTTTATGAGGTGAATAAAATCCTCCTGCAACTTATTCACATGATACAGAAATTCAAATGGCAGCAGATAGCATATGATGGAAAAACAATTAATAAGACACAAATATGCTATTCCTCTTTTAGATTAATAATTGTGCTGACTCTGCAGGGATGTCATCAGGCTAAATCTTTATCATGAACTATAGTAAGTAGCTGAAATTTCAGTAAAAATAACCAAAATTTCCGTAAGAGATCTTCCATTAATTCTGTTTTACAGAAGACCAAAATAATGCAGAAGTTTAACCACAGAATCATTTCACTGTTAAAATTTAACTTTCTGAATCATAATACTCTGAACAGGAATGTTAAAGAATGAATGTTACCTTTATCACTTTTCCAAAACACAACCCCATGCATTTGTCCTGAAATACCAATGTGGGTGACTCGCTGAAGCTGCTGCTGAGGCAGAGCAGCAAGGCATTCATTCAGTGCTTTTATGATTTTCTGGACATTCTGCTCCATTCCCTGCAAACACAAAGCAGTGTCCTGAGCATGAGGATTAAGATTCACTCAGTGTATTTATTAAACAAAGCTGCTTCAGTCAGAAATGAGGGACAGAATTCATTCACTTCAATAGCATTTATTAGAGTAATATTCACTTCTGAACTGTAAAAAGAAAAAAATTGCAGAAAACCACAAAAAAACTAAAAATCAGTGCTAGCAAGTTGAGCCTCTTAAACTGAAGGCCAAGTAAGTCTTAATTTCATAAATCACCACATTCAACCATAACTTTAAAAAAATCCATTACCACTGACTACATGCTTTCATTAGTTCACCTTATCTATTGCTCTTTATTTTCCTCAAGAAGAGAATTATCCATGTGTTTTGACTGGTGTGCAGCCTCTCCYACACSTTCCTAAAGCTCCYCCYKGTCTACTCACTGSTGAYTTTGATGACGCTGGTATTTCACTASTGAACATTCTATTSCYAGAACCACCCAGCAAAATTACCCAAACTTCTTCCCCAGGAGTTTTCACACTTTCAAAGGTTAGGTTACTTTGTGAGAGACCAGCATGAAGATTACAAACAAAACTATTCAGAGTCTATTCACAAATAAATGTGAACTTTGTGCATAGGTACTTTTGGCTGTATAAACATGGCTGTAGAGAGGAGGGTTGGCCTGTTTGGTATCCTTGGTACCAGAAATAACACACAGTTTTTGTGATTCTGATTTTTTTTTTTTGATTGACGGACACAATGCATGTAAAGATCTTAAACATGTTCCTGGTTATTTCCACAGGGAGTTTCCAGTTATGATTCCACCTCACGGTGAAGTGCAAACTAAAATACCCCTCCAAGTGGCAAGTGACTGCTGTTTCCTGACTGRGAGCGTCAAAGACAAGGTGGTGGCTCATGGGAAAATAGTTTTATATTGTCTTAGGCAACTTTTCAAAACTTGGGTCTTTCTTARATCAAGCAGCTCTACTTCACTTCTTTGAACAGTGTGCAAAGGGTGTTTTAATTCTGGTTTTAGATGTCCAGGGTACAATGGACAAATCTGGGCACAAAAACAATCCAGGAAGCCCGCTGGAGTCTGCCCAATGTACCAAACAACCCAGATACTACAAGGCAAGGCTGATTTCCCTCAGCACTCCCTGGCAGCCCTTACCTGCGSTGCAGCTTCCAGGCTATCGCTGTGTGCCTGCGTCTCCCTGGAGCAGCTCTGTGCCACCGCCAGCCCTCGCTCTGTCCCTGTCACCAGCGCTGCCTTCACCGACGTCGTGCCCAGGTCAATGCCCAGCACACAGGTGGGCCCGGGGCTGTCCGTAGCAGCCATGAGGGGATGGCTGTCACCTTGCCCAGCACAGACAGGCGGCCCAACACCCACCATGCTGAKCCCTCACGGTTCCTGGTGCCCCACAAGCCGCCACTTGCAGTGCGGGCTCCCAAGGACGGGGCAGGAGCGCGACCTGAACTTCGCCCTCAGACTGACGGTGCCTCCCTCCCCTCAGCGCTCCCTGGCCACTASCCCTCCACCTTCTCGGTGACAAACCGCCCCTTCCCCAGCGCTCCCCGCTGACCCACGCAGCTTTAAACCACACGTTTTGTCAAAACCAAACCATTACGAAGCCGAGCCCGCCCTGTCTCCCCGCTCACAGCGCTGCCCCCCTCACGAACCCCCCTCCGCCACACCCAAGATGGCCCCCGGGGGCGGCCGCAGCGGCGCGGTGGGCACTGGGCGGGGAGTCCACAGGCGATCGCCTCACGTGAGAGCTGGAAAGGGAAGAACCGGACCGCCGCCGGGCGCTGAAGGAGGTGGGTTCCCGCCCGCTCCCCGGTACCGCCGCTTCAGCAGCGGCGCGCCCCAAAGCACCGGGTGCCCTGCTCCGCCCGGGCTCCTGAGGGGAAGCGGCAGGACTACAAATCCCAGCGTGCACCGCGGCGCGCCGCCAGCGGCGGTGRTCTGGCGAGGGCGCGGGGGCTGCCGAGATTTGTAGTCCCGCGCGTTGGGGTGGAGCGGGTCCGTCACGGGAGCAGCGCTGAGGTAAAGATGTGCTCAGGGAGGCCGGGCAGACAGAGGGACGGGGGGATCGGTGCCTTCCGAAGGGTGCTGAGGGTCTTTCGTCCGGGCTGGGGCCGTGGTGCTGCGGGGGGAGCCGTTTGCCGCGGCTGCTAGCGGAGGGGATGGGCTGCGTGGCCGTGTGGGTACTGAGCGAAGCTTATCCCCGCTTTTTCTGCAGCTTTTCCACCATGAGGACGCGACATCTGCTCCCCGCTCTGCTGAGCCTCTCGCTCGCGYTGCTGGGGCCTGGCGGTGAGTGTTCGGTCAGCCCAGCTTGGGCCCACAGGGCTCCGGACCAGTAAGAGATGGAAATGGGCAGCTCTCCAGTTATCCCATTACATCTGTTCAGGGATACCTGTGCCACGCTTCCCATCARCTCTTCTTTCACTCACTACCCTGGCTTCTTGTGCTCCTGCACTATACTGAGGCACTGCTGTTCCAAAATCACTTCAGTAGATTAAATACTGCCTGGGTGCAATCAGCAATGAACTGGGGAGCTTCTCTGCAATTTACTTCTTAAGAGCACTCTGTAATATGTGGCAACAGAAAAAAAAGTGTCCAGGCCAACTGGTGCAATCTGTTTCTGTAAATGTACATTCTCTTGGACATCAGGGTACCTGGTTTGAATTTGTGGCCCAATAAACCATTTTATATTAAATTCTGGGCATTTTGACTCCTAGATCACTAGGATCACATCAAGAAACAGGGTGGCTTTGCAGTACCCTGCAACCTTCTCTTGGCATGAACTTCTGTTGCACTTCAAGCAATTAAATTACTTCCTTGCAACGTGTTCAAGTCACAGTTATTTACTTCTCCTTTTAAACGGGTTGCCTTGAAATAAGCTGTAGTCCTTTTGCTGTTGGTCATATGTGCTAATCTGGTTGATGTGATACTGCAGAGACCAATGGGTAAAATGTCTATGGCACACCAAAAAAAGTGGGTTGTTCTTCTGAAGGAGCTGTTCATAGTAATTGAGATTTCTGTGGGTGGTTTTTTCCCCCCCAGATGGAGTCATTGTATTGTCAGTCCCTGAAGTGGTTTCTTTAGAAAGTGGAAGTTCAACAAACGTCASTATCTCTCTGAGGTAAGATCATGATTACAGCTTTACTTTCCCTTTGGAACATGGGCTGTCCATAAAGTGAATTTACAGTTCCTCCCTTCCTAAAAATTGATGCTTAAGAGAAACTTGCATTTCCTAGAAAGATCACCTTCTGGACAAATGCTTAGTGCAGTTCTTTAGAAAAGCTGTGGAGGACTGTGTCACTTGGAGAGGTTTTATTTGAGGGTTTTTTGGTTTGTCTTTCTGCTGTAATTTCTGTCCTCCACCACCCCAAGTACACGTGCATTGTTTCTGCACTGTTTCAGCAAAGGATGAGCAGCACAAGGATAGGATAGRATCCTGTGGTGACTTTGCTCTGCCATTTGTGTGGAGAAGAGGGAGGTACAGTGTGGCCAGACAACCATCCAGTGGCATCACTGGATCAGATAAAAGAACCAGTGCAATGCTCACACACTTGGTGTTGGCTCCTCTGAGTGTGAGACAGGTCCTGTTGGGTGTGTTCTGCTCATCAGCAGATGCTCCTCTGCAGCCCTGAAGCAACCTCTGAGCTCAGGCACCAGCCTGACTTGTTTTTTGTGCCTTCACAGGGCTCCACTAAAYGAGACACTGGTGATAACTTTTAATATTACACACTCCTCAAAGCACAGCACCATCGTTGAACTTCCTGATGAGGTAAGYGACAGAACAGACCTGTGACCTTATGCAAAAAGCTCCTGCTCTTATTGGTGCAATTCCTCTTTCTTCCCTCCACTTTGCCTTGCAGGTGCAGTTTTCTGCAGGTCACACTAAAGCAGACTTCGAAGTGAAAGCAGATGATGTGGGACAAGTAACAGTTTACCTWTATGCCAATAATTCCAACTCAACTGGGTGAGAAACTGTTTTTTTGGTTCCACTYACTATCCTGTAGCTTCCTAAACTTTGTATTAACTATTCCCTCCTTGGAATTAAGTGGGACATGGGTGGATGCAGWTGAGAAGATGTGGTAACCCTCCAGCAAATCCTCAGGTGTTCAGATAAACAGAGAACCTGAAAGCAGAGTGGTGTCTTGGCATCTTAGATTTAATTACAAGATTACTGACTTCCCGTGGCTCCTTAGTCTGGTTTTAATAGTGCCTCCCAAAAGTATGAAAATTACATGCCAGCTTTTCTGATCTGGGAAGCATTTGACTGTCAGTGTCCAGTGGGATATTGTTTTTCCTGTGCAGGATTTGTTCTGGAGTTCCTGGGGGGTGTCAGTTAGGGGAGCCTTCTTCCCACAGATGCCAGTTCTCTCTCCTGGGAAACGTTTAGTGAGATGGAGAAAGCTGGACTGTATCAGCTTGTGGCCCAGATGTTACTAAACATGTTCAGTCTGTTTTACTTCCTTGTTTTGCTTCTGCTTTTGAGACTCAAGGCCAAGGCAGAGGTGAGCACGTGGAAGGCTCACAGGGCAGCGCGAGCATGAGGCGTGAAAAGTGCAGCTCTGCTCTTGCCTAACAGACCTTGTGCTGACAGAGKAGACACCATAGGCACAAGGTGACCTTTGGGAGCATTCCCATGGTGAAAGGATGGAAGGGAAAGGCTCAGGCAAGAAGGAAGTACAMGTGGGAGATGTCCCAAACATAACAAAGTCGCTAAAGGAAAGGAGAACAACTCAGCTGAAGCCACCCGAAACTTTATTGTCTTATCTCAACACCTGGACTCTATTTCCTCTCTCAAAGCWGAACAGGATAAAATCTGAAAAAAGGTGTGAATTAACTCATTGTTTTTGCATTACTCATCAGACCTAGGATTCAATTTCAAGTGATCCACAGCATCATAGTGAGATATGCTGATGAGGTGATTGGCTGGATCTAYTTCATTGCCTGGTCCATCTCCTTTTACCCTCAACTCTTTGAGAACTGGCGACGGAAAAGGTAAAGAGACCTAAGATGTGTTTGCAGGTCACTAAATCACTTCTGCAAATCATGTTCATAGCTTCAGTTACCTTCATCTTGGTTATTGGGAATTATCTATGGAAAGATGGGGAAAAGGAAAAAGATAGGGTCTGAATAATTGCAGGCCCAGTGAGCTTTTATATATGCAGGTTAGAGGGAAACTAAGTGCATCCTGCAGACACCTGATCCTAGGATTTGGCATCGAATATGAATTTGTGATAGAAGGTACTTCCACATTTCTTTTGGTGTCAGGTCATAAATCCTCTGGCTGAGCCAACTGTGATGATCATTTTCAAAGATTACCAGCCTTGAGAGCTGTTTCCCAGACACCTCCTTGTAGTGTCATCATTAGGCCAGGTCCCCTTGAACTAAGTGATTCTAAGCAGAAACATTATCATAAATGAAAATTAAATCATTTGGTCTGGCAATGATACAGTGCTTTATGGATTCATGCTGGAAGGGCTTTATCAGACAGGCTGAGCTCATGGAGRGGTGCAGTTAAAAGAGCAGAGACASATCCTGCWCTKTGAGAGCTGTTATTCCACCCAGCTTCCTGATGAACTCACAGCATTTTGTCACAATGCCTGCAGCTTTTGCTTACATCAGTACATTCCAGGGTCAAGTTGTCCCTGGAAGTGCCTGTAACACTCTAATGCGTGTTTCTCATTTTTTTTTCCCCTTCTCTAGTGTTGTTGGACTAAGCTTTGACTTTATAGCATTAAACCTCACTGGCTTTATAGCATACAGTGTGTTTAATGTTGGGCTCTTCTGGATTCCCTTGATTAAGGTGAGCACGATTCTCTCTTAATACTTTCTGGGGGCTGGGTGTGTGCAGAAGGGAGTGAAGACATGTGGCTGATTTTGCTTTCTCTTACCTTTAGGAGGAATTCCTGGTCAGTTATCCCAGCGGGGTGAACCCTGTGGCCATCAATGATGTTTTCTTCAGTCTCCACGCAGTAGCCCTGACTCTCCTCACCATCATTCAGTGCTGCATCTACGAGGTGCGTCTGGGTTCTGGGCTCACCTGTGGGCTCTGCCACAGCTCCCTCTGCTGGGTACCTCTCCACTCCTTTTGGGCTCCAAAATTCTCTTCCTTGCACTTCCACCGCCTTTCCAGAAGCCAGGCTTCACAGTCCAGCTGCCTTCACCTTCCCTGAGCTAGCAGCACCTCCACTAACCTTATCTCCTGCAGCCTCATGGATGTTTTGAGCTTATAAGTAAACTCCTTAGGGACTCAAAATAACTGAGGCAAACAGCCAAGCTCATAAAGTTCCCAAACAGATCTCTAGCCAGTACAGAGATTACAGCTCTTCACAGCACAAATGCTTTTCTGTYTCCTTGTTACTTGGAGCATTCTTCAAGCTAAAATAGGCCTTTGGMTACTCCCTGCAATTCAAACTCACAGTTTTTTTCAACTTCTTCTCTCCTAAAACAGCTGTAGATACCCTTTTATAATTCACACCTTTTCAAGTGAGACTGATTGTTACAGTCAAGGGGTTCTTATTTAATCCCATTGATCCAGGCAGGTGGTTCTTTGTTTAATTTTCATTGTAAAAGCCTCTCATCTGAACAAGCCAGTTTTCTCTAGATGGTAACTGTTTCTCTCTTGGGGTTCTTTCTTTGGTCATGYTAAAGCTAAAACTGTAACAGCCCATCTGCTAGACTTTTCTAGTGAAGTATTAGAAAGCAACTTTAAATCTTTTACATAATGACATAATCAGCATTTTGAAAAAGAAAATGAACTCTTGATCTCATCAGGGGGAATTTTAGAGATTGTTACAGATTATGTACCATAAATACTCAAGAGTACTGTTCCCCCCTTGCTCAGGGACAGCAGTGTTTCAAATTATTGATATGAATATTGCTCATCARCTCTTGCAAACCTCCAGCTGGTTGCTGTCACACTTGCCTAATTTTAAAGTTTTCCTGTGGTGCCAGCCTAACTGGTAAAACAGGTTTGGACTGTAATGTTGCACAGTCCTGAGCAAACTGTATCTTTGTGTCTGGGGATGTGTGACCAAGCCAAAATGTATCTGTGTTTCTATTTCAGAGAGCAGGGCAGAAAGTATCCAAAATTGTTGTTGGACTCCTGGCACTTGCATGGATCTTCACTTTCACCACGCTGTTCCTTGCTGCAGCTGAGGAGATGACATGGCTGCAGTTCTTGTTCTGCTTCTCCTACATTAAGTTAGCAGTCACACTGATAAAATATTTCCCACAGGTAAATCTGAATTATTCTGCTTGGATTCCATATCTCTGCCATGCTAGGCCTGCAATAGGTGGTCTTGAAAGTCTGAACAGACTAAACCACCAATGATTATTTATTAATAATGACAAAACCAATAGAATTATACTAAAAACTGCTTAAAAGTTAATCTCAAAATGCCTATGCATGACACACTGACTGAGTTCTTGTCACACTCCCAGGCCTACATGAACTTCCGTCGGAAGAGTACTGAGGGATGGAGTATTGGAAATGTATTGCTGGACTTCACTGGTGGAAGCTTCAGCCTTCTCCAGATGTTTTTGCAGTCATACAACAATGGTAAGCCTGGAACTGAGGTGCTGGAGCCTTTCTTCAGCATCACTACAAAGCAGATATAAACCAGTAGGTTATCTCAGAAAAATGTTTGTGCTGTGTTGTGGGGAGCTTTTCTTACAGAAAGAATAAAGAATCTGTCCATATTCCCTCAAGATATAAAATTAAGTAGCTATTCTGAAGAAACCACAGGGACAGTTATTAATTATCTTTGCATAAGATGTGCACTGCAGTCGTAGGTGTGTCTAAGCAGTCTAGGTAATGACATGAACTTCTCTAAAATGTCTTGAGACAAGACTGCACTTGAGGAGTCAGACTTAACTCTAATTTTGTGTTTSACAGATGAGTGGAAGTTAATCTTTGGAGATCCAACCAAGTTTGGCCTGGGTGTCTTCTCCATTGTCTTTGATATTGTTTTCATGATCCAGCACTACTGCCTCTACAGGAGAAGAGGGTATGAACCTTGTGAATAACAAAAGTCACTTGTGGAGACAAACTTTAAACTGAACTTGTCCCTATCCTCTGTGAGGGCTTTCAAGATCCTTGCTGCCAGCAATACTGATTTTTTTCTATGACTTGATACTCTCTGGGATGGAACACAAACTGTTGCCTTGCCAAGCACTGACTGCCAGATGCCTTAAGGACAGCAAGCTCTCAACTGCACATGGGAGACTCGTGCTTGTTGAAGCTGCACACACAGCACAGTGGGAGCTGTCCAAGCAACACGTGGCTCTTYTTTCACCAACCACAGGGAAGAGAAAGACCAGAGTGATGTCTTTCTMATTGGAGGTGAAGCACAAAGAGTGGAGTTCTGTCTTCCAAAAACCTGAGATCATGTTTAAGCAACCACTTAATATTTTTAAGTAATGACTGAAGACTGTCTGTGGATACAAATGCTGCTGACCTTTCCCAGACAGCTCACAGTACACCACCACTCAGGCTGGCCACGGTGGTATATCACAATAATGAGGTTGGTAACAAATGCACAAACGTTAGAATTTGAACTCTTTATTAAAAAAAATCCAAATAAACAGAAGCTGTGTTCTTATTTCACTGAAAACCCTTTCAAATGTGCTAAGACAAGTAATTAGAAGGGAATCTATGCATTTGTAGTTGAAAAATATTTGAATGCTTAAAACCTAATGTGTCTTTCTAGGTGGCAATCTAACTACAAACTAGTCCAGGTGACGTTTGACAGCTCCCCACCACTGAAACCAGACTTTACTAACCTCAGTAAGTCCAGTCTACTCTGAGAAAAAAAAAAAAAAAGGCCAGCTGGAGACATCCAGGTGATGTGGCACTCTTAAATATAAAGAGAAACAGCTCAGGAAAACCAACTTTGTTTTATTGTGTGTAAAATCAAGTGAAAAAGCAGTACAAATAGCAGTGTATCTTTATAGTAACAAAAATAACTCCAACTTGAAARACTTAAAATTTACCACTGAATTCTTAAGTTACAAAATTTCAAAGCAGGATTGTAGYAATTCCAGAGATATAAAATTGGTCAGTAGGCATCTGCTGGTGTGCACAGAACAGTCTGAGATGCATCAATCACAACGTACATGGCACAGCAGTAATGTACTGAATAAGTTAGTCTGCCACCTCCTCATGCTCTATTTACAACAGCTTATGTGAAGGCTGCCTAAGGAAAGTRTAGATATGTATAGATGAACTGAAGAGGATTAAAAACTCCAGTTTTTGGATAATTGTAAAGCTAACTGGCTAACAAACCACAGGATGCTAGATTGTGGACTTAGAGTTGCAGCAAGAACYTTCAGTCCTGTGGCATGTTGATTTAAACCACTTAGTACCCTACTAGGAGTTTAAATTTGGTCAAGAGGCACTTCTGCAAATYACTGGCATATTCATCTCTTCCATTCCATAAATCAGTGATTTAAGCAAAGTCTTTTAAAAGACAAACCAAAATCCCTTCCATTTCAAGTCTGATAGAAGTGGAATGAACTGAAAACTCTACAGCTACAAGCAGCATTACTGGTAAGTTCGGGAACATTRTTTTGTTTCCTGCCCTATATTCCTTTAATTTAAACTCAATTCATCTGATGGTACAAGGAGAATTCAGGTTTTGCTCTGCCAGTGAGTGCCCATGAAGTTGTAATGTATTTCACTGACACTGCTGTGTCACTCAATTGTTTCTCTCCTGAAGAGGCTGCTTTGTACAGGGAATCTTTGCAGGAAACTGTAATGCCCCAAACCCTTCAGCCACTCTCTATCTTGCACACACTGTGGGATTAGGACAGTGCTCTTCCCCCCAGCACCGTGCAACTCTTAACTCTGGCATTTGAATTWGATAATTGTGGGGACAGGACAGCTYGCTTCTAAAAGCTTAGGCACAGCAAACCCTCTGGTCTCCCACAGCAGAAACCACAYTTCCCCCCTAAAATAGGAGTCTTTCGTGCTACAGAAGAATCTTATCCAAGTTAAGGCTTTTCCAGTTGCTTTTAGGTCTGTCCTGTCCTGAAASCCATGATTACAAAAGTCTCGCCATGTACCTGCAAGGCAGACTTTAGAGAAGCACTCTGCTGAGGGGAGCATTGTTTTACTACTGCCAGTTACACCAGAAGAAGTTAAAACAAAAAAGTAGTATTTACCACAGGTAGGAACATGCACTCCTTCCAGACAACCTGTTCCAGTCTAGTATTTGCTTCTTTCTTTGATACCAGTCTCTACATCTCCCTCCCCACCCCTTCCCCAGCTGGATGATGGATTAGGACATCATGGATTGCTGCACAGCCTTCTGCAGGGACTGCCTGGTCACCAGCAGCCGTACCACCTCCTCATTCCTTTTGGTCAGCCTCTTCCTGGCCTGGTCATGGGTCACCATTGTCATATCCCAGCCATTCACCTGGAAAAAAAAAATCAAAAAATGAGGCAGGTGCAGGGACTCAAAAGTGTCCTGTAACTGTTTTATCATAACCACATGGTAGATATGCTTGTGTCACAGCTCRGGTTATTTATGAACCCCACAAACTSTCCTGGGAGGCACCCAGATGATTATTTCCCCCAGCAGATGCTTCTCTGCAGCGTGCAGCTGGTACTGTATCAGTACTGTCTTATCTTGGTGCTTACCTGCATGATCTTATCTCCAATCTGGAGTCCTGCAACTTCTGCTGGGCCTCCCTCTGTCACCCTTGTTACATAGATACCCTRGGGAAAATAAAATTCATTTATTAAATATGGGAGCATTAAGTACTCAAGAGCCATCTGACTGGCAATGCAAAAACAACTTTGTAGTTTATTATGAGTTTTTAGTTAAAAACAGAAAAGGTAGAGAAATCACTTAAACAACCTCAGCCTGCAAGTGATAATGGGGCAGCACAGTAACTTCAGTAGCTGTGGTGGAGGACAGAAAAAGAGTATCTGACCTTGTCAGTCTTGTCTTCAGAGAAAGGATTCTGAGTAGGGTCCTGATCAATGCCACCCCCAATGCTGAATCCCAAAATCAAATTGTCACCTTGACGAAGCTTATGTATTTCAATTCTTTGCTGAAAAGAGAAAGAKATCAAACAGCTGAGTACTGTGATGACTGGAAGAAATTTCAAGTGCATTTCAGATACAAATCCTTCAGATCCAGTTAGATTGTCTTTCACAGAGATCCCACAACACAGCCCAGCACATCAATTACTCAGAGCTTTCCTGCCTGCCGGGGGATGGAAGAGAACAACAGTAAAACCAGAGCAGGTCTCTTTAAACATGACTCATGCCTTGATAACCAGCAGTCACTCATGACCAGCCTCATCTTGYTCATTACCCACATGCCTTATGTTCCTGCTAGTCCTATCAGCAGAAATAACAACCTATTATTAGGATGGTTCTTTTTCAGGATAACTTATCCACGCACTTTTGTAACCCAGGGGCAGGTTCCTCGCTGCCCGATGCACAAAGGCATCTGACAAGCTTTGTGCATTATGTCAGCATGGTAGAAATGCCAGCTGGTGCAATTCCTGAGCCAGGGTGAAAAGCCAGGGTGTAAACTGACACAATAACCCCTCAAAAGGTGCTTTACCTTATCTAGTGAAAGATGTTCTTGCTCAGTGCAGGGGGTTGAAAGAGATGACCTTCAAAGGTCCCTTCTAACCTAAACCATTCTGTGATTCTCCACTTACAGAACCTTATCACACAGCTCCTGAACTTCCCCCTCAAATTCCAAACTCCCTGGCACAGCAGCACAACAGGGTTGTCAGCTGGGGCCACACACACCAGCACAATCCCCTTTTACCATTCCACCTAGTGGAAAGCACAGAATCCCTCACCTGCACTGCGCGACGATTGAAGCAATTATCTCACTTTAAAAACTCTGCTTTCTAAACCCCAGCCAGACAAGCAGGTGCTTATCCTGCCCCTGCCCTCGCAGAGAGAGCACCGCACCGAGCGCTGGGCTTGGCTGCCGCACGGTGCCGGTACCGGGAGAACGCTCGTCTAGCCGGGGCTTGCTCCCTCTTTTCTCAAGGACCACCSGATCAGCCCTGGGCGGGGGTCGGTCCCTCCGCCCGGCGGAGCTTCCCCTCGCTTCTCCCACTCGATATCGAGGACGGGCGGCCGGGAGAATTTGACAGCCCCCGCGGCAGGGAGCGGCCGCCGGGGCGGCAACCGGAGCCGGCGGCGYTGCGGACCGAGCGGCCGCGCCCTTCGCCCACGAACGGGGCTGTCCCGGGATCTCCGCCCTCTGATAGCCCATAGGGGCTGCCGAGCGGCACCGGCACCGTCACCTCTGTCCCCGTCCCATCCCGCACCCTCCGGCCGCTCCTCCACACACCGGCGGACCGGAGCTGTCCCGGGGCGGCACCTCCGCCCCCGCCGGGCACCTCCGCCCGCTGACAGCGCGCAGGGCGCTCCCGGGCACCACCGCATCCCCCTCTCCATCCCTGCCAGCAGCGCCAGGCACGGCACTCCCCGAATAGCGGTGACGGGCTGTCCCGGTACAAACGCCATATCCCCACCGCCCCCGTCCCGCTCTGCAACTCCCGCTTCATCCTGCCCTGCCCTGTCCCCGC